CAGGGTGCCTGCCTAAGTACCTTGCCTCAATTGGGCTTACATAAGGTAGCGAATGGGCAGTTGATTCGATAAGGTGCTTAAGGTAAGGTATGGCAGGTAGAGGAAAAGGCGCTTCTGGCTTGGGCGGAATACGGAGATGTAGGTAGTATGTTGTCGAATGATTCCTCAGATCCAATGCAGGCGAGTCTCGTGACGCTGGAACGCTGGATGCAGAAGCCGAGGCGCACCAAGAAATGAAATTGAAAAGTTGAACACGAAACGGCGCGTCTGCTCTCAGTGTGGGATATCGCACTTGGTCTGACCTTGCCCTTTGCCAACGCCCACTAACGAGCTAGCTAGACTGTGTGCGTCCCTTAGTAAGACGGTAGCGTTCAAAGACACTTCAGGTCAAGATGGCTGACTGGTGCCAGGTCTGGGGCGTTTAGACGAAAGGTTTACGCTACTACTACTACGTCGACACTGGAGACTGGCAGAGTTGGAGGCTTGGAGCAAGCTCCTCGGCGCCTTCTCCCCTGGTCGTTACTTATGGCTTGAGACTAGCACCCAAACCGATAATCCGATTTGACCGCAGCGTGTCGCAGGAGCCAGTCCGTCGGCGTGTCCAGCATCGGGAAACAATGGCAGACTGGTTTGGCAGTTGTGCAAGCCGCCGTCACTTGCATCATTGATCGGCTAAGCCATGTAGCCGTTTGACGAACCCATCATGGTAGGTGGTCTCGTATCGACAGTATCAGTATCGGACGTTGCAACTGCGGGCTGCTAGCACGACAAACGAAACAAGCGAAGCGAATGTAACACAGAGTCTGCGAGGACTCCGGGCTGACAGCTTTCTAGGTTCATTGCGGGTAAGGTCGCGACGAGTCTGCGTCGGACAAACAGAGTTGGCCAAACAGAAGCCTCTGTTCATCCAGGGCGAACGGACTGACCTAGGTGAGTGCGAGCCAAGGGTTGTATTCATATCCGGAGTATAGTTACCTCATAAGACAGTGGCATGGGGGAAGCATGCTGGTCCGAAGGGACCGGCAAAGTTCCCCATTGAATGCCGTCCCATAGTGTCCGCAAGGTAAGATATGACCCATGCTCTCTCTCTTGCAAGATCACAGGGCAGCCCGTGCAAGAGAGAAACCAGAGGGAAGATCGGGAAGTTGGATGGATGGCTTAGGAGGCTGGAACAAGGGACGCCTGGATGCGGCACTTTGCGATGATGGATGGCGTTCCTTCAGGTCTGGCCACTCAGCTGACGGGTGAAGTGGGAAGTGGGTCCCCGAGGCGGCGGCTGGCGGGGGTTGTTCAGGGTTCAGGGTTTACGTCAGGCGGGCAAAGCGTGGGTGAAGCAGGGGCGAAGGGCAGGGGTGAGTGTACTCGACATGAGCCTTGCCTATCTGGGCGATCGACGACAGGCCTCCTTTTAGTCGGGGAAAAAGGGCCAATCGGCAAGGCATGATCTGCTCTCGCTGTTTGCTCGCAGCTTCGTTTCCTGGCAGTTCCTGCTTATTCCCACGCAGCTTACCTTCATTTCTCACCCAAGATTCCAAGGAAAGAGGGACCTGACGCTTTTGTTTGCCCTTCCGCCCCCTGCGTCCTGCCTTTGCACGACATACACGTGTCTGCAGGGAAATTATGTTCATGCGTGTCAAGGGCTGTAGCCTGTTCGTCCGGAAAGGTTCCTCCACTTCCTTGAATACATCATCTTCATCTCACCTCTACTTAGGTATCATACGGGGCCTGGCCAGCTTATCACGAGACATGGACCTTCGCAAACGGCCGCTCTTCGAATATCGTCCATTACTAGGTTACCTAAAGAAACTGGGCAAATCTCTGACTATCGATATCACAAACCTCGAACAGAGTTTCACATTGGAACCCCCTTTGTGTGTCGCAGAACCGAGGCATTCACGGTCAGATCCCCGACTCGCGCCACCAATCCAACTCTATATCGCATAGTTGCTCCCTGGCCAGAACTCTGTGCCATACTACGCGCTCCTTTTCACTCGCCATCTCCATACGCCGTCGCAGTCTACCCGAGTTCTCGCTCTTTTACGAGCAACTAGGTTGGCCAACGGTGTGACGGACACGCGTGCAATCCACAATACGAACACTTGCTATAGGCATCAGAGAAACAGCTTCGTACGGCGCCATCAGTAATTACTTTGGCATGGCTGGATGAATAGGACGAATCTGAGGAGACAAGTACGCGGAAGCAGGCACTCCACAACACCAGACTCGATACAAACTTCGTATGGGTTCGCCACTCTGCTTGCAAAAAGTTCACCTCGATTCCTTTACCAAACTTGATGAACCGTGGTCCCAGCATCTTGTCCGCGAAGGATGGAAATGCAACGGGTATTATTAGACTTTATGTTCCGGCAAAGAACTATTGGCTGTTTAGGCCTTGCTCTTCCTTGGGCGCCAGCAAGATGCCTGCATAGGCGTCAATATGGCGAACCTGTCGTCCTTCAGACTTATTATAGTGTTCCCATTCCCGAATCTGCACGCCCAGCATGAACCCCACAGAGACAGGTACGACAGAAACCTGAGCCCGGACGCTGTCCGACGTTGTATGACACGACCAGCAGGACAGCTCTTGATATCCTCATACAGTAGTGTATCAAGCTGCCTTGCTATTCTGGAGAGCAGCCTACTCCATTAACCAGGCACAATTGTAGGACCTTAACCATTTAGACCTTGTATTCGTACTACTACTGACTGCCTGCGGCTGTCCCACACAAATTACTTTTTCGTGGGCAAATTCAAGAGGGATCTGCCAGACTTGATTAGCGCCGCTCCATATCCCAGCTGGGCAGCAGATCGATCTTCGATAATCCACAACGCGGCGCCTCTGGGGCCTGTCCCGTGTTCTCGGATCGCCAGGCAGTACGTTGCTCTAAAAGGCTGATCCAGCCAGGCTTTGAGCGTTCCCCACCACCATCTCATCGTCGTCGTCCTTTGAGTCAGTTCCTGCAGCAACGGGACGACTCTCCAGAGGGAGCGGTGAAGGGTTGAAACAGGCTAAATGCGGCCTTTGTTGTACGGCAGAGAATCTGAATCGTCGAGACGGCGGCCACTGATCACAACGTTGCCTCGATTGGGACTACGCCAACTGCCCTAGGCTTTTTGATATTCCCCACCGCGTTTTCATACGCTGTTGTCTCCATCACCTGCATCACTTGGTCTTTGTGTACCGCTGTTTCTGCATGACAATTGTCCGGCGGCTCACAGACTGCGCTACACACGTACACACGTACATACGTACAGTACACACTTACGATGAATTCGAACGCGTCACGAAACCCATGGTGGCACCCGCGATATAGACCACTTCTAAATAGACGAGTCGTAGACCTTGGGAAGAAATCAATGCGTTTTCACTCCGTGTCAACGTACTGGCTGGGTCACATCAAGCCGTGGCCACGGAGCGGCTAAAGTCTCTCATCTATAGCCGCACTTGGGGAAACCTAGGTGCCTAGATCCCTGATCTGCCCGTGCGGTTTGATGGGAAATGTGGAAAACGAAGGAAGTAATCTCTTTTCGACGTCTGTGTTTCGTCTTTTGGCGACACCGAGACCTTTTCATGGCAGTCTGTTGGTCGACCTAAAGACGTCTTTACATGCTGTCAAAAGCTTCAAAGTTCAAGACTCCCGCGGCTCTTCTGGTCGCACAAGCCTTCCCGCCGGCAGTTTTACCCCCTAATCCGTACGTTGATCGCGGCCGGCTCCAAGAAAAGCCCATAGCTCCCCATTCTTATCCAGGATTCCCTGGGACGGACAACTCAGCTCAAGCTTGGCTGCATCGTGATTCTGGCCCATCGCCACTTTTTATATTGCGATAGGCCAGGGTAGCAGCCAGGCGTCGCCGTGTTTCGGGAAACCTCGCATGCTCGTACGGGCTGGCAAGCTATTGAAGCCACTAACTTCTCTTAGCTATTTAGGCAGATGTGCTTGAATACGATGCAGCCTCTTGTCCAGCCACGGGCTTTTGAGTGGCACTTGCTGGCGTGAGTCTTTGATCAACCAACACTGTGGACGACCTAGTACGGTGGACATGGTTCTGAAGATTGATCCGGATGACCGGGCCGCCAAATAAGTGCCGAGCACGGAGACAGCTCCCGCATTTTGGGAATACGGATGAAAAGATATGCGGAATTCGAGACGGCGTTTGAAAGATTGCTAGTATGAGGCAAAGGGACATGGGTGCGCCAGACCACGGTGGCCATCGTCACATATCATGGCAGCTCCCATAGAGCAACACGCGGAGACCATTCGAACGAATCTTCTAGTCAGATTTCTCTCGAAATCGGCTACATCCTAGCGGACAAGATACGCCACGGATCGACGGGCTGCATGGAATGTTGCAGATGTCGACATACACCGCATCTCCCGTTGAATAGAACATCGACATCACTTCGAGAAGGACGTTGATTCCATGTCCTTGGCACTCTCAAGTAAACACCAGAGACCCATGTAAGATTCTGTCAGTTTGTCGCGTCATTCCAACCGTTTCTTTGTGTACATACAGCTTTGTGAATGTGATGCCGCCAACGTGGCCCTTCTGATGAGAGACTCCCTAATAATAGTCACTACCTCGGGCAGGCCGAGACACTCATAGCATTGAGGCAGTATCGGTGAGGCGGGGGCGACGAGCAAACGCGCGCGGTGTTATCCTCTCTTCGGAAAGAACGTCTTTGACCGGGAAAAGTAATGGGCCAAGTAAACGATTCAGCGAGATTCTCACATGGCATAAAACATGAGTGAAAGCCAGGGTACACCATTTTACTGCCTCGCCATCTGGCAATAGTGGGATTAGAGATAAGATCTTGAAGGCGAAGTAACCGAGGACCATCCGCAAACCCATTGGGTGGTATTTTCGGGTTCGAAAGAGTGCCACTTAAACATCTCAGGCTCTTTCAACATTCGATAGGGAGACTACCTTTAGATATTTCGCAAGTCCTCATCTGTGCGCCTTCTCAAGAGCTCTCGGCATCTAAGAGATGATTGCATCACATTGGCAAGACCACACTTGAGAAGGTTATAAGACGTTGCTTCACAACAATGATTTGAAAATGAAGTGGCAATAGAATGCGAAGCAAGCTGCAACACCATTTCGATTCATTGATTAGACTGTACTTCCTAATCGTCCTCCATCAGCGCAGCCAACTCGGCTTCCTCCTCAGCCGTCATCAAAGGCTCCTTATCATCCTCTTTCTTCTTCTCCCCCTCAACCTCCTGACCATCAACGACCTCAGACGCAACCCGGATCTCCTCAACCGCCGCATCCAACCCCTTGCGATCAAGAGGCCACGTCCGCAACGTACAGTCGATACCGACACTGCACAGCACATCTGAGGAGGACCGCCCCGCCGAATCCCGAAGGACGACAAAGTCAGTGATCTCGTCAAAGTGCGCGTCGAGAAGGGCGTACAGCTTGCCCGACGTCCGGTCCCAGACCTTGATCTGCTGGCTGATGCCACCAGTGACGACCCAGTCGCCCGTCAGCGCGACGGCGCGTACAAAGTCGCCGTGCTCAAAGGCGTCTTCCGAGGTGAAGGCCTTTTCACGGAGGAGGCATTTGGCCGTGCCGTCGGCGCTCGCGGTCCAGAGGTCGACTTCGTCGCCGGTGATGTCGAAGAGGACCTTGTACACGCTCGTCTCGTGCTCTTGGATCGTGAGCTTCTCTTCGCCCGCGGCGGCGGCGGCGGCTTTCTCTCCAGCAGGCTGGTCAAAGGGGAGCTGCGCGTACGAGTCGAGGGAGATCCTCCACCGGCGAATGTGCGGATCGCTGCTGGCGCTGACAAGGACGATCTCGTCGGCGGTGCTGAGGATGGGGTCGATGGCGAGGGACTGCAGCGACATCATGGTCGTGGCCGGGTCCTGGAGGACGTGCAGCTTGCGGCCGGCGTCGGCGTCCCAGACAATGATCTTCTTGTCGGCGCCGCCGCTGATGAGGATGGTCTTGTCGCCGAGGCGGCCGCAGACGAGGGCCTTGACAAAGTCGGAGTGGCCGTCGAATTTGCGGCCTGGGCGGCGCGTCGCGACGTCCCAGGACCAGATTGCCTTGTCCCAGCTCCCTGCGAAGAGGGTGTTGTTGGAGGGGCCGCCTGTTGCGAGACATGTTACTGGGACGGAGGGGCCGGTGTACTTTGCTGTGGTGGTTCGAGTCTGTGATGTGGTGAGCCCCTGATTTTGAATAGACGCTCCGTTCACTCTGGAACTCTAGCACTTTGGCGGGATGGATTTGGGGAGGATGTAGATGAGAGACGCAGGAGTCCTACTGAGTATATGAGAGAAGCTTACCTCAATGTTCACCTTAGATACCCTCCCGCCAGACTCTGCAACGAACACGGAGTTATTGGACTTGGTATCCTTGATGACAGCCAAAAGCTTGGAGGGCATGCGCAGAGGGTTGCCAAAGGTGTTTCCCTCCTTCTTGGCACGCTGCTGGCGCTTTTGTTGCTGAGTGCTATACAATTATCAGCCGTGATCTTGGTAGTCGTTTGGATGTACACTCACTCTGTCTCAAAGAAGTTCTCTTGGTTGGTTGACTCCATTTTGAGGGGTATATCTCACGATCGCTGCTTGAACTGTGTCTTTTAATAATTGCAGCAACAAATGCCTACAAGCAGCTCGAGCTCGTGTGGAAAGGACGATTGAATTAACTCAAAGACAAGCAAATGAACTTGGGGAATTGTGACGCCTAATCTAGGCAGTTCCTCAGGTCGCCCACTTTCACTCACAAGCTGTATTTCTCATCAATTCTGATGCCTGCGATGCATTTCTGTGAGTGCAGTGACAGCTCCCACAGCTGGTGCCAGTTGGTCATAGCAGACGATTTCAAGACAGAAGAAGTACGTACCTGGCGGGGTTCCTTCAACGACCCCTGTCTGTCCCGCGCCTGTCAAAAAGTTGCTTTAATTGAATTCGCGACGCGTCTAAACGCGTCCCTCTCAGAGTGCCTCCGTCCCACCATCACCACATCCATCCTCTCGAATACGCATCTCCAACCACACGAACCCAATTGACGATACCACGACTCCTCGATCAGCCAGCTGCGCTCTCGCTCGCCAATACCTTCTACACAGAAAAAGTCCCAAGATACCCATGAACAAGAACTAGACTACATCTCAAACACCAACCCCAAAATGGCCTCCTCCCTCGCCCCGAAACCGCGGCCGAGGCCGGCGCACACAACAGGAACAACCCGTCTCGCCTACACTCCCTCAGGCGCACGCCTCGTCACCGTCGGCTCCAACAACACGATCCGCCTCTACCGCACCCATCACGACGGCGAGCCCTTCAACATCGACGACTGCCCCGAGCAAAACTGTGCCGTCGCCGCCTCGGACTCCTTTTTCGTCGTTGGCTCAGAGGACGGCACCGTCAGCGTCTACTCGGTCGAGGACACTACTTTCGAACGCTTCCTTACCCGCACTTCTCTACCAGTCCGAGACGTCGCCCTATCCCCCGACGCAAAGTGGTGTGCCGTCGCCAGCGACGAGCTCACAGTCAAGGTCGTCGATACCCAGGATAACTCCCGGATCCGCGTTCTGAAGGACCACGGGCGCCCGACGAAGCATCTCGCCTTTGATACCAAGGGCGGACTCTTGGCGCTGGCATGTACGGATGGAGTCATCTACGTCTACTCTATGACGGCAGAGACGCCGGAGCTGATCCGCAAGGTGGACGGCATCATTGGACCTCTCGACCCCGAATCTGAGAACTCGGCCAAGATCGTATGGCACCCCGATGGGCGGGCATTTGCAGTGCCTACCCCCATGCACGATGTCCAGGTTGTGTCCAAGAACGACTGGGAGAAGCAGCGGACGTTTGCCAACGGGCACTTGGGTGATGTCACCGCGGTGGCGTGGTCGCCCAACGGTGCGATGCTGGCGACGGCGGGCAAGGACGGAAAGCTCTTGATCTGGGAGACAAAGACACAGAGCGTGATTCAAAAGTTTGACTACAGCAACGTCATTGACATAACATGGCATCCTAAGGATAATCTGCTGTCGTTCACGACATCCGACGGCGAGGTCTACATCTACCCCAACTTCATCACGGAGCAATTCTCTAGCTTCCTACAGCTGCCTCGCCAGCCCGCACCCTTTATCCACGATCCCCTCTCCGAGATCTCCAACAACGCCAGGAGACCAGATGCCAACGGCAAGGCTGCGATCCCCAGCCGGCCTCGCCGCGATTCCCTGGGCAGTCTAGACTCCTTCCTCAACGGCGAAGACGGCTACGATGATGGAGACGGCTTTGTTGTTGATGATGACGGCGCCGGCTACTCGACTGGGCAAAAGAGGCCTCTCGAGGGCGGCGTCGACGACGGCGACCGCGCGAGCAAGCGCCGCCAGCTCGCGCTCAACTTCCATGAGGCCTTCCAACCTGGATCGACCCCCTGGCGCGGAAACCGCAAGTACCTGTGCCTCAACATGATCGGCGTCATCTGGACAGTCGACCAAGACGGCCACAACACTGTGACGGTAGAGTTCTACGATCACGAGTTCCACCGCGACTTCCACTTCACAGACACGTTCCTCTACGACAAGGCCTGCTTGACGGAGCATGGCGCCTTGTTCTCATGTCCGCCACAAGAAAACACGCCCGCCACCATCTTCTACCGTCCGCACGAAACGTGGACGCAGCGGACAGACTGGCGGACAGAGCTGCCCAAGGGCGAGGCTGTAGTTGCCATGTCGTTGAGCGAGTCCTTCATCACAGTTACCACGACCGCCAACTACGTACGCATCTTCACCCTCTTTGGGGTGCCGTACCGGGTCTACCGGCCCAAGAGCACACCCATGGTCACCTGCGCCAGCTGGCGTGACTATGTCATCACGATGGGCAACGGAGCCGTCGGCGCAGACGGCAACGCCCGTCTCCTGTACACGATTGAGAACATCAAGCGGGACGAGATCTGTCAAAACGAAGACACCGTCGCACTACCCGATGGCGCGACGTTGCAGAGCGTCTTCTTCTCAGATGTCGGCGTAAGTTTACACACCCCTCCTCCCCTTTTGTTTCGGACATAAGAGATGCAGTTTCGCTGACAGGCAGGGCACACCGACTCAGGATCCTTGCATTTATGACTCGACAGGCACTCTGCTCACCCTGCTTCACTGGCGGAAGCCCTCGCGCGCCTGCTGGGTGCCCCTCCTTGACACAAAGCTTCTCCCGCGTCTAGCGTCGGGAAGGAAGACGGAAACCTACTGGCCCATTGCGGTAGCCGACAAGAAGTTTCACTGCATCATCCTCAAGGGCGGGGACCAGTACCCCTATTTCCCGCGACCGCTGCTGTCCGAGTTTGACTTCTCCGTGCCCCTCACCTCCGCTCCGGCGCCGGCTTCGGACGCGGAGGGTGCGGAGGGTGAGAACGCAGACGACGAGGAAGACGAGGGCCGTCGCGAATCGCGCAAGCTGGAGCAGAAGCTGCTGATTTCCGGCATCCACTCGGCCCAGCTGCACGACCTCATTGACCACACCGACGCCACGCACTCGCAGAGGACGGGTCTTGCGCGGCTGGAGCTCGAGCTCGACAAGACGCTGCTGCAGATGCTGGCCATTGAGTGTCGCGAAGGCGAGGAGCGCGGCATGCGGGCGCTGGAGCTGGTGGGTCTGATGCGCGATCGGACGGGCCGTATGGTTGAGGCGGCGGGTAAGGTTGCGGAGCGGTACGGACGGTCGATCCTGGGCGACAAGATCCGCGAGATCGGAGAGCGGAGAGTCAGCGGGATGGATGTCGACGATGGCGACTTTTAGACTTGCCCATCCATGGCTTGGATGGTCACCTCGGGAAGGGGGCTAACCCCCGTCACTCCCCATGTCGGGAATTGGGTTTCATGGTTGTTTGGATGGGTCCTTCCCGTCAGTATAAGGAAAGGCGTTTGGATGATGATACGATAGTGACTACTTCAAGTTCTGCGTTTGTCTTTTTTTTTTTCTTCAATACGCAGACGTGAAATGAATGACTAGCTAATACAGAGGCGGTATCCGTACGGATTGAGGTTCTTTTTTTTGCTTTTGGGAGAGTCATCGTCGTCCATTTCGTGTTCCTTGTAAAATGTTTAAAATATGGAGTCGGGACAGAGAGTCATGAATAATACGAGGAATAAGCACGTCGTGTTCTCCGCAAGGAAACAACATATCACAGGGGCAAAGGGCGGAGATCTGTCCGTGTCGTCGTTTTTGTGTGTGTGTGTGTGTGTGTGTGTGTGTGTGTGTGTGTGCGTTTTTGATGAGGATGTGTCGCGGTTCATCTCCCATACGTGGAACTCTCTGCAGCACAGGCAGGAGGGCGGCACCCATGGCACCGGTCCTCGCGGCCTTTCCGAGCTGATGTTTTCCTTGTGTTAGAACATAGAGTCGACATTTGACCTTTGATCGAATTGTTTGCCCCCCCTTCCTTGGACATTAGGTTCTTCCAGAGAGTGCCCATCCAAAACTTAGAAGGTGCCCCTGGATCCCCAGTCTCGAACGGCATAATGTCGGACGTGATGGGTGCATAAGCCCAAACACTCAACCCCCCGGATCCGACACTCCTCCGTGGAAAGTAAAGCTGCAACTCCGAAGACGAAAGGGACCAAAGCGACGACTCGACCACTATACGTACCGACTGGAACAACAAGAAGAAGATGTCCACGTGTCTCTTGGTTGGTTTTGGGCTTCCGTCCTCGTGCTGTAAGCAAGGATTTCTTGCGGGACCCTGGTCGAAGTATTTGCACCACCACAACCTCAACTTCTTTTCGATTAAGTTCAAGATTGATAGATGTGTTGTCCCAAAGCCATGCCGCCTTCGTGTCATGTTTCTCTCTCGGCAGTCCAACAGAGACGCCATGGTCGTTCTCGGAAGACTTTGCCGAATCCCTAGCAGCACTCTTCGTTCCCGTGTGCGCGGGGACTGTGGAGGAGAAAAAGCGGAATGGGCGGCAAGGTGCGGCCCGGATCAGGTACACGGTGACCATAGTTGCGAGGTCGATAGTGTGTCCGTCCCATTGCCTGTTGTTTTTACATAGAGGCCTAGGTGCCATGTTTGGCCGTGAAGACGGAAAACCCATGCTACGCACCTATTGACGCGTCGCCGTTTGCTTGCATGCATGTTGTCGTGATTGCGACATGTTGCGACATGTTATCCTGTCCTATTTGCAGAACGGCCATACCGTAGTAAGACGTAGGCTACCCGCGGGATCTGTCCGGTGCAGACTAGGCAAGGGGGCGGAAGGATGAACAACCATACCCGGAATACGACATGGGGAATGCAAGAATTAGAGTTCAAGTCGAACGGGGTAGATCTCGGTCATGGGCTTCTTCTTTGGCTTCGGATGTGAGGTTCCACGGAACCAGTCACCATGCTGTGTAGAGCAGGTTCGTGGAGCTAGTCTGCTCTGGGCCTCAAAGCGGTACCCAAAGGTGCGCAGCGATTTGCTGAAGAAGAATTTCAGTAACTTGGAGATGAGACGAAAGATACACCAGGAGCTCCGGGTCGAACAATTCTCAAGGGGCATCCGGAAGCCAATTGTATGAGTCGAACTTCTAGAAGCTTGGTGATTCGCCGTGAGACGAGCGTCGACGTTACATCTTCAACGTTCTTCAGACAGAAAGAACTTGCTGCAGAGAGAGTTCGCCGGACCCGGGTCGCGTTACATCAAGAGCGGACCATGGAGATGGCCGAGGCCCTGGGTCACAGGTGGTGGTGTATTCGTAGGGAGCCAGTGCTGGTCGAGAACACTGTCGGATCGACAATGTTGAGGTGCTCGATCTAACAGTTGCCTGTAGCAGCTTCCATTCTGACATGATGAGTGCGTGGTCCAGCAGAGTGTACGGTCATCACACAAGGCTGGACGGATAGCGGTTCCGCTGAAACGTTGGGACTGCAGTTCGTTCGCTCAGGCCGCCATCCACAAACTCCTTCGTTTGGGAAGAAGTCAAAAAGCTGGCTCAGGTGGATGCAAAGAGCTCTCAGGAAGGATTAGAGACTTACCGGTAGTGTGGCAGCAGCAGTCCGTCGTCGGAATGACCTGAATATGACGCTCGCTGGAGGGCACCATCCACAGGCGCATTTGGGATTAGGAAGAGTTTGCAGATGCGGATGTCGACTTGTAACGAGGTCAACGTTTCTGCGCTGAAATCTCCCCCTAAACCTTGTTTAGCTAAGGGCACCCGAGGCTCAAAGGATGCGCCAAGACAGAGCTGAATGGCTGTGACATCTTGTTTTCAAAACAGAAGAGTATAGCAAGCTTTGAGGCGAGAGCCGGAGGAAATAGTCCCAGGCACGGTTGAAGACAGTCTCAAGCATGTGACTGTGACTGTGTCTGGTTTCGCGGGAAAAGGCAACCCAATTGTATCCAAATATCGAAATGCGTGCCATGAGGAACCTGCTTCCAGTGCTCAGTGCTGACTGAGCGACTGGGGGAGGGGTGCACCCCACTTCTCTTCAACGTTCGGAAGCACCCTTGTCCTGGCCCATTGGAATGCAATAACTAGACGATAGCTTCGCGTTTTTCGTAGGAGCTTCTTAGACGAGTCCTGTCCGTAGTGATAGTTGTGACAAGCACAAGTCGTCGTCTGGATTTGGACCAGGGCAGGGGTTGGAGGGGAAATTCAGGGCTTTTGCTCGACGCTTTGTCCCTCGGTCGAGTATGGCTGGCTGGCTGGCCCCTTGTCGGCCCGGTCCATGGTCTTCCAGCTCCCACTTTCACCTCTCGAGAAAATGTTTGGAGTAGGTAATGATCCAAAGGCGAAGGAAGGCGTGAACCGCGAGAAGAAATCGGACAGTCTGTGGAGAATTTGGCGTAAAGACGCCGATATCCTCGCGCTGACACCGGCCAGTTCGACATTGAAATTGAGGTGCCAGATGGGCTATTGAATGTTGAGTAGCTGCAGATCCTCGTTGTCGCAAAGTTCCTTAGCCTCCCGTAGGCACAACATATGGCAGGCCGCAAACTCCCTGGTTGCTTGTTAACGAAACAGCGTTTTCATGGTTGTCAGGTCCCTTTTGGTACGGCACAGGAGTCGGCACATGCCTGCTGAATCTTGATTATTCAATCTTGAATCTGCGCTTCCAGTTGCCTCCTCTGATTCATCACGGACTGCATGGATCCAACCTCTTGATTCGTTTGTTCGTGATGAAGGCTCTTGCGGCTGGTGAATGGCATCTCGTGAGCCTCCGGCCAAGAGCAATGCGATGTTTGTTTAGATCGACTTTTGTCCTATGGGTCTCTGTGCGTTCCTCCTTGACACCGAGTGATCATTGCGCGTGTACTGCATCAACGGGCCCGATTGTCAACTAGGCATCTAGGCACCGAGCCCATGGCCATTCTGCTAGGGTGGTCGGTTGAAGGCGAATGGCTTGATCGTGTCCGCCCTAGCCGTCTCGCGCGGATTATGGATATTATCGCGAAGAAGCGAAGCCGTTGAAACAGAAGCGCACCGTCTGGCCGGTTCGAATCTTCCGCAATTCCTGGACTGACTGTGGTCCTGCGTTGGCTGCCACAAGCACCGCACTACCACTAGCTCGAACCTTTGGTTAAGATGACGGCCTGCTTTGAGCGGCGCGAAAGCAACCTTCATTGGGTGAGTGGCAGAGGCCATCATCACGCCACGGTAAGACACAGGAAGCAAAAGGGCTTGCGCAAAAGCCGCTCTGAAGCACTTGCGTGCTCAATTTGATGAGGACAAGCTCTCCACATGCCACATACTGGACCGTTCGCAGTGCTACAGAGCACAGGCCCGAAGCGAAGACAGCCAGGCACAATCTCTTGGCCAGTCGGCTTCCAGGATAGTCGACAAAGCCCACGGTTGATCGAGATTCGACACCACTCTTGGGAAGCAATGCAGCTCCCGACTGGCTTGTCAGTTGTAAAAGCACCTGCTCGTGCCCGGGGGAACTAGGCCCTGGGACGGGGAGCTTGGGGACCTTCGGCTCGGTAAGAGTCCCGCCAGTTTCGCTTGTCGTCTCCCTGCCGTCGAACGGACACAGACGTGACATGTAGTCAACGAACCGGATTGTTTAGTTGGGCAACGGATAGGCTAGGCTGGTGTTGTTGAAGCAGAAAGAAAGCACAGAGCATCTCGGTAGCAGCATGATCCAGCCCGCACGGCTCGTAGGATCCTGGCGTGCCCCAATGTTTGCTTCTGCGTAGTGGTGGTGATGGCTATAGGGTGAGGTGGTGGTTGTGGTATAGGACTGAGTAGAATCTGTTCCCTCTCGTTTGGGTCAATCGAACCCTGATACTTACCTTCCAGCTGCAGCCGGTCAGAAGCTGTGGAAGGGGGTTCTGCCTCGCAGGTTTGGGCATCGCATCTCATTCTCAGCAGAAGATGGGCTTGGTTTGCTAGGATGGTGTCTTCCCCACCCACACCCCCTCCTGGTCGCGGCCGCTTCTAGGCATCTGGGAGACGGGGTTGGCTGGAAGACTATGATTGTCGCAGATGGCAATCTTGTAGCTTCCTGGACCGGGCGATTGGAGAAGAGATCTTGAGCTGCATGACTGAGACAGCGTGTCAGAGAAACGAGGAGTTGGGGATCGAATGACGGGAAAAGAAAGCAAAAACGGACTTTAGAGTGGAGAGGACAGTCTAAGGGGGCACGGGAAAACGTGAACGGACACATGATGTGCATATGCCATGGCGTATCCGAAGGCAACAGGCTGGGAAATCGACAGAAACGTTGAATCGGTTGTGCCTGCGTCCGGGCTGATTGATGCTGGAGGAGTCGATTGAGATTACAAAATTCGGTCTAGAGAACGACTAGGTAGAGGGAGGACGAAGGATGAAATTAAGATACTGTGCATACTCAACATGCATTGGAGTGGAAGGGTCGCTAAAGCTTCAGCTCCACGCCTCTTAAGATGGCATTCAGTCGAATTAGAAAGAACGGCGAAGAAGCGAAGCTGAAAAGAAAAGGGCAAGAGATGTAATGCGCAAATAGGAATCGAGGCCACATGCAACGAAGAGTTGAGCCCCGTGGTGTCTGACGGTTTGTTTAACGGGAGGTAAAAAGACACGCGGCAAGGAAAAGCAAAGCAAGTAGGAAGGTGTCTTGTGCTAACCCTTCCTCATACCTACCACCTTACTCCGAGGTGTCAAGTTGGCAAGAAGACATCTTCATCTACCTTACCTTGCACCTTACCGATACCTTCCATTATCTTCGGAACCTGACTGAGGTATCCGAGGCACTGCCTGCCTTGACTCTGCCTTGACTGGTACAGGATATGCAAATACTCTTTCCTTCTTTACATCCAAGGCTAACAGCCCGAATGTACACTTACTAGGTAAGGTAGGTGAAATGTTCAAAACTTACAAATCAGAGGGAATAAGTATAACGGAATACATTGCCTGGTGAGCGTCTCTTGGTATAATGTTCCCGAAGCAAGCACGTGTCTTGGCGATTGTAAGTCGAGAGTTGAGTTTTTGAGCTTCATGGCTTTGGAGAAGCAGACGCGCAGCTAAGGTAGGTACGCCAGGACCACCCACTTGATGCCATGACGCCGGCTCTGACCAGCGGCTGAGTAGAAGATGTGCTGCTAAAACACAGTCGAGTCGACGGTCCATCATCCGGCGGTATTAGGGTCCCTTACGGGCGGGCGCTCCATAGACCGGCCCGTGTCTTTTGTACGCCTTGAGTAGGTAGTGTACCTTTTGCTCGCTCATCGTGGCTCAAACCGTCAATCGAACTTCTTCTCCAAGGCAACTGCAACCTCATGTAGTAGTTGACCTGCAGTCATGTGGCTGTCAATGCAGAGAGTGCTGCCCAGGCCCCAGAGATGTGAAGTTCAATATGAGAAGTCGTGTGGTACCTTCTCTCTATCTGTACGCAAAGGCACTCCGTCCTCGATGGGGCACCTAGCAGGGCAGAAAACGGCAGCCAAGGGCAGATAGGCGCGGACTAGATTCAACGCAGGGTACTTGACCCGACGTCACTCGTTGCCCTATCTCTCTACCTTGTGTCCGACTGGCGTCGAAGTTTGTACGACACTATTGCGGACCCTCGGTCTCATCAGTGGTAAAAGACATTACCTGGTGTCATGTACCTCTTTGATGCTCCAGACATCGTGCGGCTGAAGCTTTTTGTGCTGCTCTAGACCCGGTGAGCATGAATAGATGACTGTAACTAACAGCATCAAGAGCTTCGCCAATGGAAAGTCCGGATTACCTGGAGGATGAAAATGGCGATTCTCTCCCTGCCTGCTAAAGTACTTCATCATGATGTTTGACGTGTTGTGAATTTGAATTGCACGATAGCAAAGACCTGGCAAAAGAAGAAGCAAACTTGGCCAAATTTGGAAAGAGTCTCGTCAGGGGTTCAGACATCAGGACTTGCATTTCATCTCATCTTGACGGGGCTTCAACGCCTCTTCGATTCAGATTCATGGCGTACATACGTAGGTACCTAGATAGACACAGACAGACGAGCCAAAATCTGACCCTGAGCGGTACAGGATCCCGGCGGGCGCTATCCATCTCAACGTGCGTTGACTTCCCACAGCAGGACTACAATACAGGTGTATTCGTCCATAGTGAGAGGCACGGGACGATACATGCAGGAGAAGAAGCCTTTTGAGACTTTGAGTAACTGGCTGGCAGCTCATCCATCGGCCTTAACCTTGTTCCTTTGACACTGTTCTGGAGAATGCCACTAGAGACCCCAGCATCTACACCCACATCCAATTCCCTATAGGAGGGGGTGCGCCTTGAGATCCCAGCGAGGAGAAGACGACCCCCCCCCCCCCCCCCCTTCCAGCCGTGTCCACCCACCCATTGGTTTGAATGTGACCTTTTCCTGCTTTCCCACCTGTCCATTCCCATTTTCAGCTGGCGGGGACCGGACCCCCCTTCCCCCTTCTCTCCTGAGCTTCCACGGTATCTTCCATTCCACATCTTCTGTCCTGCCGTGCCACCTGCCCTGTTGTGTGCAGCAGTGTAAGGTACGTATGTGTATGTGTGTGTGAGCGAGATGAGGGAGATAGGCAAAGATAGCGCGTGTATACCTATGTACGAATATGTCCCGTGTGTTTGTGTGTGAATGAGAGAGTGAGAGAGAGTGAGATATCTCATGTCTGTGGTGAGGTACCTATTGTACGTACCTTACCTGGGGTGGTTGAGTGAGTGATTGAGGTGGGAAAGAAGAACTCGGTGACCGAGCAGGAGCTCCCGTCGTCTCCTTGGTACCTTCCATAGATAGGTACGGATACTTCGTACCCCTAAAATTCGCTGCTGCTGCTGCAAGGTAAAGTGACCTGGGACCCGCCCCATGCAAGGCCGTCCATCTCACACGCCCGCGGATGGCCCCCCACCCCCTCCTCCAGCCCAATCAGCAAGCTTCCATCAACAACGACACTTTCCCCGACCTGAACATTCTGAACATCCTCACTTGGTGCTCATGGTGGGACGGGCGCCACACCTCCCTCCTTCTCTCTCCCACTTTCGGCCATTGACATTGGATAAGATCCCTTTTTTTTTATTTCTATTATTTTTGCCTTCTCCTTTTTTTTCCTCATCACTGTTACTGTGCTTGGGCTCAGCAATCAGAGCTGTACATGAACCACTCGACGCTCGCACTCCTCCTCCCACACATGCTCATTCGGCTAAGGTACTGTCCTTGCTCCCTCTCTTGTTCCTTCAACCTTGACCCAAACACACGACGAAAGGTAAGGTACCTCAAAGCATTGGGTTTACCGACTGACTGACACATCGACGCCGCAATTAGACCGGTCCACTCAGAAGCTGACTGCTGGATCACAGTCTAGAGTACACGCTACCTTACACCATCCCGCAATTCTTGTGGCACTTGCTCTCCTTAATCAGGCCTTCTTTCTTCCTGTGTTCTCGCAGATCCAACCGACTATCGATCTAGTCGAGCCACTTTAAACCTTCGCCAGCAGCAGCACAAGCAGCACCACAACCACAACCACCCACCCCCAGTCCCCCGTCCTTGTCCCTCATTCGTCGTCATATTTCCGGCGGCCCTGGCCTTCGGCAACCCTTCTCCTTCTCTTCGAACTCTAGAACCTCGACACTTCCACCTCTCTTGCATCCCGCATCCCTATTTCGCTGAGAGTACCGCTACCCATCTGGACGAGGAGAACACCCCCGAACCTTTATCTTCAACTCTGCCAATCTGGACGCATTCCAGCAGATCCATCCGTTTGGCAATCCCCCGACGTTGGAAGCCTGCCGGCACCTGGAACAAAGACCTGCTGTCTACCTTCTTACCTGGCAGATCCGAACCACGGCTGGACAATCCAATCTCCAACCCGCTCACCCACTCGCGCTCGCCTGTTTCAACCAACGTCGCTGTCGTTTCCCGCCAATCCAATACAAAGGGGAACCTTTTCTGCGAAGCTGCCTACGTGCTTGAGAGCACCACTCAACACCAGAATCAATCAGAATAGCCACCCGACCCCATACCTCCCGCGATAGACCTATCCCATTGTCTTTCTCTGCGCGCATCGCTGCAGAACCCGCCCGCATCGCCTTTACCGTTCTGCGAAGCCATGAGGTGAGACAAGCCCCTCAACCATCTTCTCAAACCCACCGCGGCCGCCCTCGATACCGCTCCAACTCTTTCTCCTGTCTTCCCTGCCATTCCCAAACCCGCATTCTCTTCGCAATTCATTGCGCCCGTGTCTCTAGAGCTAACCGGATCCTTGCGTCTTGCAGAGGGGATGGCCACAGTGACTGAGAGTCCGCAGAGAGCTCCTCTGCCTGCTAACGGTCATGCCGATCTGATTCCGAATCGCATTGTACCTATCCCAACCCCGACCCCGACCATCCAAATGTCTGCTCCATCTCCCGGTGAGCCTATGGAGATCACCTCCTCCAACAACGCCAGCACTACCTCTCCTTCGAGCAAGAACAACGACACAGACGCCAACGGCGCATCCAAGCACACGTCGCCTACAGACCAATCCGCGCATAACTCGATCGCCATGCCCGCCGCGCCCGCAGCTGCGGCTGCGGCTGTGCACCAGCCAAAGATTGTACAGACAGCTTTCATACACAAGTTGTACAGGTGAGCAGGAACCTAGAACGTTGCTTAGTAGAAACATAGCTAACGCTGTTCAGTATGCTGGAGGACCCCAGCATACAGCACTTGATATCATGGTCAGCGAGTGCTGAGAGCTTCGTTATGTCACCGTCCGCGGATTTTTCCAAGGTCCTCGCGTAGGTTGGACACGCTATCGAATACATCCTTCACCTACTCACCGTCGACTAGTCAATATTTCAAACACACCAACATATCCTCCTTTGTCAGACAATTGAACATGTACGGGTTCCACAAAGGTTCGATAGCACCTCCTCTAGCCACATAATGTCATATGCTAATCGAGGCAACAGTAAGCGACGTTTTCCACACTACAAATCCCGAGACCGCTTTGTGGGAATTTAAACATGGAAACGGCAACTTCAAGCGAGGCGATCTGGTTGGACTCCGTGAAATCAAGCGGCGAGCTTCACGTCATGCTCTTGTCCACCGGGAATATCCCAACTCAAAGCCGAGCCCTTCACAGCCCGGAACACCTGCGGAACCGATGCCTCCACCAAGCGATGGCTCCGAAATGCGTATGCCTGGACTCGAGCATACGCTGTACGACCTCAGCATGCGACTGCAGAGAAGTGAAGAGAATGCCCATTACATGCACATCAAGCAGCAAGCGGTGATGGAGACAATGTCGCGACTGCTCCAGTTCAACCAAGAGTTATCGAGAACGGTCCTCAGTCTCGTCCCTAGTCCCGACAACCCAGTGCACCGGGACGGTGAGTTGTGTCTCTTGCGATCCACGTAGCTTGTAACTAACACCACACGAACTAGTTCTGAATTTGCAATCGGAAATGGCAAGACAGGCCGACATGCTCCGAACTATTGATGATCCCCAGGAGTCGCCGTTCGCAAGCAGTCGAGCGTACTTCACCAACGTGGAGAATGCACCAGTTTCGCCGCGGCAGTTACCCCAAGATGACCCGAGACGAAATGCAAATCTTGCTGTTCCCCAGCCCAGAGGGCAGAACTTCTACCGTCCTCCTGTGCCTTCAAATCTTTCGATCAGCACGCGAAGGCCCTATGGCTCTATTGGTGGTGGATCAGTTGGCGGTGGTTCAGTGCCACAGGCCTCATCTCCCTTGCGGGGGGCGCCGCCTCCGCCCCCTCCGGGGCCGCATCCCTTGGCCCAGGTTGAGGCGCCTCCTGGAAGTCTGGCAAGACGTCACACTTCGGCTGATATACGTGCACACGGGTGGCAGCCCAGTGCTCCGCCGCCGTTTGCTTCAGGACCTCCATCAGGACCGCCTTCCGGTCCCTGGCCATCTTCGCCCAGTCGACTCGCCCCCGAGGACCAGCGTCTTAGGGAGTCGCTGTCCACCTACTCGCTGCAAAACGCGACCCAAGTACGACCTCTATCGCGACCGACCACACCTCCTGGCGCGCCCTTCTCGAATGGCGGCGGAGGGGATACCTTTGGCAACTGGTCGTGGAACTCGGCCAACCGGGACAACAAGAATTTGGCCATTAGGGATCACTCAGGACCACCTACGCGCCGCGGAAGTATGGCGCATATCCTCAACCCGACCGACACGGCTGAGCGGGACGACGAGGACGAAGATCCCCGAGGCGACGATGATCGGAAGCGCAAGCGTATGCAGTGAGCAAAGCAACTGCCTCCTTCGGTGTCGTCCGTCGGATCTTTATGCATGGCACACCCCTCGGACGCGTGCCCGTACATTTCTATATCAGATAGACACAACTATCCGATGATTTCCTGGAAATATTCCTTTCATTGTATAGACGAAAGGGGGATCATACTCGGGTCAGTACACGATTTGCACAGATGCATATCTACAACCAAAATTTCAGGATCGAGACCCGAAACACACACGATGCCAACGGCCACTACGTAATACGATTGACCTACGGTCAACCTCGACTTCCAACCGGGTTTCTGAATCTTTCACATCGTCAAAAAGTTCAACATTTATATCAATCATGTGTTATTCACTGCATCACGGCCGAGTTGCGTGAAGCAAAAACATATCATAAACCAGCACCCCTAGTAATTCAGCGTCACAATGGCGTCTCATCAAGCAGAACAAGTGCGGATCCCACATCTCATTTCACATTATTCACTCTCGGATGGAGGCTGTGTGTTTGCAGTCGGAGCTCAGGAGACGGGATACCCAAGGGACGTTAGGCGGCAAGGTTTGTTAAGATTCGTCCAAAACTGTCCATATCGGGGTGTATTTGGCGACAGCTGCATTTGGGATGCGGGAGGAATGGGAAATCATTCAGAAAAACATGTTCACACCTAAATATTGAGGCATTTGGTCAGAAGCAGCAGCTATGTGTGGCTTGTAAATGGCCTGATGGCACATGCTCAATAAGCCTTGGCTAGATCTAATGCGAAGATGCAATGACCAATATTGTGACTACCAGCCAATCCGCGGCAGTTGTGTGATTCGACGGTTTCCGAGACTTGTCGCTGATGCCTGCCGCACATGCAGTTCCCAGATGGTCTCAAGGGATGAGAGCGGCGTTCTTGGCGAGATGATGTCCCGGCATCTCGGGTCAAGGGAGTTGCAACATGTCGTCGACCCGCAGTTTGCCCTCGTCATGTGCGGACTATGATTCCTCCTAGGCCACTGGTATCTCTTGGGCAGCTCCGACGCCACCTTCCGAGGCCGCCGCCATCTTGTTCTTCTTGTTCTCCTTGTTCCGCTTCTTCTTGTTCCTTTTCCTTTCCTTTGCGGCTTCGTCTGTCTCGGGTCGCTTATCGGCCTCCTCCTCGGCAGGGTCTATCGCCGCTATCGCTTCCTGGTCTTGGATCGGACTAGGGATCGGAGCATGCTCCTTGCTGTCTTGCAGATTGTTTTGTATTCGGTCTTTGGTGTCGTTCGATCCGCCCTCGCGCATCTCAACATCGCCTCGTGCAGCCGGGTGTTCGAGCACCTCGCGCTCAGGAGACTCCTGACGGACCTTTGTCTTCTTCTTGCTCTTACCCCAGCTGCCCCTCCCTTCCTCCTCGTCGCTCTCGTCATCTTGTAGTCTGCGCTTCTTCAGCGCCGCGGCGGCGAGGGCTTTCGGGTCGTCTGCGCCGCGGCCTCCGCGTTTGTTGCCGAGGAGGCGGCGGCTTAGGTCCCGCGTTGCGGCGGAGGTGGTCTGGTCCACTTTGGAGGTCGCGAAGCCGAGACCTGTGTTTGGGTTTTCGAAGCGGAGGTCTGCGTCGTCGGCGGCAGCTCGGGGGCGGCTGGTTGCTGACTGTGATGTTGTTGAGGTGGTTATGGATTCGGTTAGGATGGGTTTCGACATTGATGAGAAAGTGCCTGGCGCGGCGCTACTGGGGGTGGTTTCTGATGTTGATTGCGAAGAGGATCGTGCTAGGGAGGGATACTTCGCGCGCATCGAGGTGAGGAAGGTTGCTTGTTTTGCGGAGGCGAGGGAGATGCGGTTGTAGAGGGCGTTGAAGTCTGCCGAGGCGGGGAGTTTGGGCGCTGCCGTGGAGGCGGAGGGCGAGGTTGGCGCCATTGTGTGTGTGTACAGGTGGTTTGTTATTCTATATCATGTGGAGGTCGTGTGGGGGGGTTTTTTTTTTGTCGTTTCAAAGACTCGAGGTTCTGGTTATCCGAGTGCGTGAGCGATCTCGAGGTTGCGACAGGTTGAGGCTGTTGACGATCGGCGTCTAGAAGATGCGCAGAAGCGACAGGAAGACTAAAGAATTTGGGGTTTGGGGAGTCTGTTGGCTCGTGCTTGACGTCTTATCGCACCGCTTCACTTCGTCTATCTTAGCGTGGATTTTCGGGTGCGCGGGCCTGAAAATCGAACGAATAGGGGGGAAGGTGTTCCTGCTGCGGGCAGCGGTGCAACCTTCTCCACAAATCGAACGTTGAAGGATCGTCTTTTGCAGTGTGACGGGCAGGAGCGGGCAATTTTTCGACGTCGGCCCCGCTCCGGGTCCGGGCCGAGAACGGGGACGGTCCGATACGGAGGAGGATGTTAGTGCATTTGATGCAGGTCCCAATCCTGGAGGGAGCCATTGACAGCGGTCATTTTCTTCTTCCAGGGTCATGCAAAATCTGTGAGTATTATCTGATTGGGGGAGAGGACTTTAGGGTCTAGGGAAAGTGTCTTTTGGTGGCGTGTTGGTGAAGCCTAATACAAGAACCCGAAAACAAAGGAGTAGGCACGTACCTAGGTACCTGAGTAAGGGTGCCAGCGCAACCTCAGGATATGGCTGACCTACGTAGGACCAAGGAGGAAGAATTTGAAGATGAAGCGAAGGGTAATGTGGCTCGCACCCTGGGCCAGAATGAGGACCTGATCGGGGGAGCGCGATTCTCAAGATCTCAAATCGCAGGCGCCTTTCGCGAGGTAGCCCGGAGTATCATGAGACCTCGCTTTCGTCCAACAGTCTCTCGAATGAGTTCACTCGCCATTCAAGAACCGTAATTATATAGACGGGGTCTGTGTTATGAATATGAAGTACATGCTCGCGCGGTAAGCGCGAAAACGGCCAAAAAAAAAAAGGAGTGACCACGATGGGATTCGAACCGCCAAGGACCTTTAACATCCACACCCTCGAGATGGGAAAAACCATGCAGGCAACATAATAATAATTAGCAGAGCAGGCAAAATAAAATGCATGCGAATGACAAAATGGCAAGATATGGTGCTGAAGTGCGACGCCGGGGGCGAACAACAGTCTTTAAATGGCAGGTGTCGAGCGTCGATGGGTGAGTTGGCGCACTCAAACCTTTCGGCCAAGTGCACCCCTCACACCATCCCCGACAGACGCTCCGATGTGAATTGCTATGAACGATGTTGACTGCTGTGGGTTGAGGCAGGTGACGGTCATGAGATGAATGGTCATGGAGCGGACGGAATACTCAGACACCAGCGGCACAGAATACTGTCTAGCCGCCTTCGTTTTTACTGAATCTGGATTGCGAGCCATCTATGATGGACAAGCCTGCTACTTCTTTACGCGTAGTTCAGGAAAATCTCAATGAGGCTACATGATTACGGTGGCCTTTCAAGTCTGGCGTCTTGATGTTGCTGACGAGACCACGGAATCCCCGATCAATGCAGTTCAAATCTCTCCACGCTCACGGAAGCGTCATTCAGCTTCGTCTCCGCCTCACCATTCATCATCCCAGGTACCCAACAAGTGCCAACCAAGCTCCACGATGTCTCCTCTCCAGTCTTCCTCAAGATGACAGGCACAGAGGACCCTTTCAGTATACACACAACATCCCCAGCTTCCCCAATATGCAACATCCCGCGGTCACGCCAGTCCCAGGCAGCCACACCCGACTTTACCTGGTCATGGACCTCAGGTGATAGGTCGTCCTCTGGATTCCACTCCACGAACCTGTTTAACCATGGACTCTCGATGTCATGGCCAGAAAGGAACGCTTCCGAGATGCTGCTATTAAACGCCTTGCTGTTGCTGTCGGCTAGACCGAGTAGCTCAAATAGGCTTTGCTGCCCTAAAGGCTCCTCTGCGAATTCTCGATCGACATACATCAAGTGAAACAAGAAGCCGAGAGCCATCTCGGCTTTAGCTTCGGGATGTTGGAAGAGGAGAGCAGAACCACGACCGCCTGATTCGAACACCGCACGGAACACGGCTTCCTGCGCAGTCATCCCATTGGGAAACTTGATATTGCTGGTTCTCAGTTGTTCGATGAGTTTGACAAGTTTGACAAGTTTGAGTTCAGTGTCAAATAGTGTTGGCTTTGTGAGGTTGCGAACTACCTCGCCGATTCGAATGCCCGATACCAGCAAGTGCCAATTGCCACTAACAGAAGCACCTGGGACATCTAACCCGAATACTCCGTTATCAGCGTCTCCTATGATCGGCTCGAACGACCTATTGGATTCTCTCCATGCGTGTGGGTAGTTCGGAACCCAAGTCGGTAGGTCTGCCTTGGCGAGTGGGTGAGTCGCGCCCTTGGTCATGTGTAGGCCAGCCATCGGGAGAAGGTCAAGCTCTTTGGCTTGTCCTGTTCTTTTACAGAATGCAAGGTATTGGGCAAAGTATTCGACGTAAACAGATGCGACCGAGACGTCCGGGCTATAGTCGGGAATGATGGGCAAGTTGGTGAGACCAAGCAAGCCGTAGATGCTATCCTTGGGATCGGTGGCGGAGAGGGTGTGATTCCAGCTCATTAATAGCCAACCCCAAAGCCCCCACTCGTCTGCCCTCAGCACTTCGGGCCTTTTTTGCAGGTGCTTTGCCTTCATGAGTCGTATAGAATTATGCCATGGCACCCTATCGGACGACGTGATGCTAAGCCAGGCAGACTCCACCATTCATGAAGGCTTCTGCAAGTAGCTTCGAACTTCTTTCAGCCTCCCAGCCTAGCTGCATGTGAGGAATAGCGCTATCCAGTCAACAGAAGACGTGCCAGATAACAGAATCAGCTTCTCTGCTAAGACAATTTCCTGAACGACCCATACGCGAAACCAGTACGGTAGGTTGAAGAGTGTCCAGACGCTCTTCCACGACTGGTTGGAATGCCAGTCAGTTTCGGGTCCTATGTCAGCCACGATGAGTTGTGGCCAATCCTTCATCCAGCTGATCAGATCGTGCGGTTCGACTCCTCCAATGTGGCGTCGTCCTACGACTTTGTCCATTTCATGGGCCACCAGGTTGATCGTCTCAAATGCTGCGCCAATTTCTTCGTCATCCTCTCCGAGCCATGAGAACACGAGCTCGGCACTCGAGTAAATTCGGCGCATCAGTTGTACTTGCTGGTTGCGCTCTGCGACATCTTGTTGGTTGATGCAAAGGGCATCCACCCAGACTCTGAAGCCTTGCGGATGTCGGCTAGGAAATGTGTCTATCCAATGATCTTGAAGATGCTGAAGAGCGTTGAACAGGTTCTTGGTTGCATGAAACCCCTGGCCGTTCAACAGGATGGGCTCAGTGATGGAAGCATCACCCCAGACGTATGATAGGGCTGTGTATGCGGGCTTTTCGTCGAGGGATACCGAACTCAGTCTCAAAGATGGCTGACCAGAGAAGCTGACATGTTCGAGAAGCCTGATTTCTGACTTCCCAGCATCGAGAGGTTCATACAGCGGCATTGCTTCCTTGAACATCTTGCTAGCTTGTTACGTAGTAGACCCCTTTCAAGAGGTACACGGTAGTCATCCAGTCGGGATCCTGACTGTCTTATCCCATCGTGGCGTGCCTGATGAGGCCATGCGTGAATGGAAGCCTGCTGTCAGATACATCTCGCGGGGATTCGTCCTATTCTGGTAAGGTGGTCGGCGTGAGGCAGGGGAGTGAGTTGTGCAGGCGAAGATAGCGTTGGGACTTGCTTGGAACAAGGGAGCTCCATTGGCTGCACGAGCCATTTAATGCACCTGCAACACCTGCCACAAGGCGGCGGCGCCCGAGACCTCCCCGCTGACCACGGTTGGGGTCCCCTGAGCAACTTCTCTTTGAGAACGACCCACTACCAACTGGAAAGCTACAGCGGTGCTCCCAGACATCGAAGCTACCCAGGTGGGTGACACAATAATGGAAGTTGCCGCTCTCTGGTACCTTGACTGTATTCCTGCTATGCCTATCACCGCCACTGCTACACCTACTGCTACTCCTACTACTACTATGATATTCTATTTTTTACATTCATTAGAGAATAAGCCTTAGAGAGCGAAGATCGGTAATAGTAAAACTGGTTATCGTTATAGGAAGGCGGCTTAGTCGTGCGTGGAATGACATTCTAATTCTGTTACCTACCTTACTTACTACCTCTAAGGCTCTGCTACCTGGTGAACCTAACCATCTAGGTTGATATCAGGGAGGAACCGGATTAGAAGCAAACTCAGTCTGCCGCTTTCCAGACACCGTGCTACCTACCCTACCTTAGGGCTATCTCCATCTGCCATTTGCCTGCTCATAATATTTCCCCTAGCATCAGCCACTGGAAACACCATCAACTGCCCAACTACACCCACTATCCAACATTTTACACCGTTGTAATAATCTACACCACATAGTCAACAGAGATGAGCAACGTCGAAGAGCAGGACGGCAAGAAATCCGTGCCGGATGGTACCCCTCAAGGCAAAGCCGTCCCTCAACACACCAACCAGCACTCAGATTTTGTTCAAGTCTCCCTGGGTCAGACACTGTTCCAAGAGAGGGCCGGTATCGAGGATATCAACGTGGTGAACCTCTGGGGACCTCATTCCAGGACCATAGCCCAGTGTGTGGAGAGCTACTACATCGGGCTCGATAAATCCCGGACGCAGCCTTCAGAAACTAGAGATGGATTCCGATACAAAGCTCTGGAGTACTACGGAGGACAGTCCAACCAATATCAAGCCGCAGAATTCGACAATGAAGGCGGCCGGATGGGAATCATATTGGCCGAATCGGACTCGCACTTCTGGTGTCACACCACCGGCTCGTGGGTGTGTCAAAGAAGAAAAGAGAAGAAGAAGAAGGGAGTGTTCAAGTTTACCCAGAACCCGCCCAAGTTCCATGCCGTTGCACACAATTGTGCCGCATTTCACGAGCCTACATATGAAGCTCTTGAGGGACCTGTTCCGTGAGATTATGACGGACGAGCCAGACGAACCGGCGAATGCACTTCTACTTTCGGAGGACATTAAGGGCTATTTCGACTCGTATAAGCTAGTCATTGTGCCTGTCAATCCAGAAGAAAAGCCACTCACACGATGGAAGATCGACATCCTCGACAAGGACATTGAAGACGAGACTGTCCAAGGCAGAAACTTCACACCTGGTGGACGCGAAGCTGTCTTGATCCAAGGTCTTCAAGACAGAGAGTTGGAATTCCTCAACGACAATCGGCCGGCTGCAGGACTTTTATATCTACATTTTCTCACGGCACTTATCCGCTTGAAGAATTCCAATACGGCGAGCTGGAAAGACGGCCAGGGAGAAATACTTTCCTCATGCCCCATCCTTCATTTGAGTCATCCAGCTCTGGTCCGAGGAATCCCTGGACGATTCGGACGAATAAGCCCAGGATGACTCTGACGAAGACGTATGGGACGAAGCCAAGAATGAACTTCAGAAGTCCAACACTCAACCCCTCCGACAGGGGTATGGGTTCGACCCCGCAGCGGACAAGGCAGCATCGCCTGAGACTTCCCCGCGGACGATGAACGGGGTCCTCTTAAACACCTCCAACTCAATTGTGGATGGGGGGTTTTTTTTTCAACTTCATATCACGGCCACCGCCGCAGTCTTCTCCAAGTCAGCATCAACCATGCCGTATATCCGTGAGAGGTATGGCAAGTTTTCAATCTCAATAAATATCATCTCCATTGGTTGAACTGAAGCCTAACTGTTCCATAGAGTCTGCCTTGGTGGCTAGAGCCAAAGCATGCCTTCAATTGGCGAGGCACGAGAGAGTGAATGTGGTTGAGGAGTCCCTCAATCGTCGTCGGTGGCCGCCGTAATTCAGTGTGTAGCAGCAACATCCCAAAGCTCGAAGCAGGCCAAGTTATAGCTCGGAGGCTCTAGATAAGAGTTAGGGAAGAATGGGGGTTTCAAGAGCTGCTTACCCCCGAAATCCTCGAAGCCTCGGTCTGAGATTGAGTCCTGCAGCTTGACCTACCATTCCTTCAATCTTCAAACAACTAGTCCTCATTTTCGCGTAACGTTGGCCAATGTAGCACCGAGAAAAGAGCGATAAACCAGGGTTGTGGCAGAAATGTCCCTCATAATCCGATGTGCCGATATATCCCTCCCTCTCGAGGACCGAATCAATTGGGGATAGTGAGCGGCTCAGCAACCCATCACTTCATTGCTCGGGTTACAGCAAATCAGAACACAGAGACACCACATGGCCCAAATTGTGGCTGGTTGCCTGTCGTTTCTGCCTTCGAGCATCACATCGGCCAACCAAACAGAAGCACTAGCCACATCATGCACGTTGAAGCTTCCATTAAAGCCCTCGAATTTAGCTGCAGAGCACCAGCCACAATCTCTCCGGAGACAGTGACGGACTTTCCGCAGTGGCTCCGACTTCAACCGCCGGCTGGTCTTCATCTCCCCGACAAGAGACACATGCGACGTCTCATTGAATGCCGGTGCCGTGTTCTTAGCGCCTTGGAGACCTCTGAGAACCGTGTGGTGGAGCCCACGAGATTATCCCTCATGATCGCTGTGGCTTATACCATGCATGGTGGGCAGTATGTGACCAGTATTCTCCCCGGGTCCCAGAGTCTTGTTCCCCAGTCGACACACGAGCTTCTCCTAAAGGAAGGTGTCGAGTGTCCTTGCATGTTCTCGAAGGATGAAAAACGGCCATATCAGGGGCTCTTGAAAGGGGACGATACCGCGAAGGGTTTAGACGCCCCTCCCCGACTTGCCACGCACCGGGTTTCTGGGACGTTCAAAGTGGGTGTAACGGCCCGTAGCCTTGGGAGGAGCAAGTTGGGTTGGATCCAGTACGGCAAGGGGTTGTGAAGCAGGATGCGAAGTTGGTCATCTCCAGTCTGGGGCAAATCACCGGCCAACGGTAGGATGGCGGTTAGGCCAAGTCCATGTGCGAACGGCCGCGGATCGCCGGCGGACCATTGTGTTATTGTCCCTTTCTAGAGCTCAATGGTTCTTACTCCAGTCAATTTGGCTTCGAGTACAGTATTTGGCAGGTCGCCAGTACCTCATTTCCGTCCCAGACCCGTTCGCCTGGAGCTGACTGCCGTTATGTACAGTCCTTCCAGCCGCACTTGGCCAAGGGTTTGATCTTGTATAAGACCTTCTCCTCACCAGTATCGTGGAGGATATTGTTCCAGAAAGTCAGGATCACTGAGTTTCAATGTAACTACTTCAACGAGCAATCTTATTTGTTGCTCTGAACAGCGGCCATGTCTTCTCCTGGTTCTAGCCCTGATCACGGGGGCGGGGGGGTACGTTAAAAGTTCTTCTCTACCCGTTGAGAAGACTGTATTAACATTGATTCAAACACAGGGTTTCCACCCATACTCAAGTCAACTCTCTTGATAACTTCATACCTCGACAACCCCAGCTGGCTCGTTTTGAGCAGGAACACCCCCAAGACGGCAACATCCTCGTACCTCTCTCCCACAATCCTCGGGACTTGAAGTCTGCCATCAATCACCACAAAGGTCGTGCTACCGGAGCCATCAAGTCCTTCCAGCAGAGCTTTACGAAAGTCAAGTCAGACGATTCAACCAACTCACCAACCGACAAGATCAGCTCCACTGGAGTAAACGACAAGAGTAGCTGAAGTCGGGCTACTAGCACAAGTGCTGAAGCGGGAAGCTTCAATCGTTTCAGACAAAGCGTTTCACCTAGATCGCTGCTCACGCATTTGATATCGAAGAAGCGCGGAACATCTTTTCTAAGAGTCAGAAATGCGAGCTGCAGGTGGATCTGCACGTGTAAAGATATATCCAGCCATGAGGACGGAGGAGAAGGTGTCACTTTAGAAGAGTAGAGGCTTTGGGCTATTCTAGTCTCCAATTGATCTAAAACTCAACTTTGCTTCGTTGTTTCTTACCTTGGCTTCTGCTGTTTCAAGCAAAGACACACGTTCGTTTGTGATGTTTGTAGTGACAGATGGATACAGGGCTGCGTCTCGAAAGGACAGAGGTGATTTGGAGCGCATGCACGCTCTTCTGCCCATGGGCCCAGCTACTTTTCGAATTGGGCAGTTAATATCAACCTCGAATGAATCCATATCACCTTGCATCTTGCCAAGTACAATTCTCCAAAGACCGGCTGTATCTCCGCTGTTCCGGCCAGATTAGGCTCAAAGACCGGCGGTCCAGGCCGGTGTATGCACGGATGGGTTGATGAACGATATTCAGTCCAATCGCTTGATCAATATGAGATTCGAGCAACCAACAAGTCGGGTTGCTGTCGCATACGCCGTATGTGCGTGAGAATGCAGAAGGAGGTCACGTCACTCCCAACAGCTTCGACCAGGGAACAGCATTTAACGCCGTCTTCCCCCCCAATCTTGATCCTGTTCTCCAAAGCCAATCTCTTATTCGAAACGACATATGCAAGATACACAATCTATAAGCAGAGCATGGCCGAAACTACAGGCAACGTTCCAGCCAACGTAATAATCCCAACCTTGGAAGAAATTCTGAAGCATAGTTCGGACTAACATGACACGCAGGACCCTCGAGACACCGACGGTGCCTCAACTATAGGTGACAGTGTCAGTATTTCATGCAAAGATGGGTGACTTCCACAATATTGACAACAAACAGTCTATCGTTGATTCCCTGGTTACATTGCGGTCGAGTATTCTTGACTATCGGAGGGAAAACGGACGCACGTACCAGAGTCAGTGATGGGAGTAAGTTTGTCTTGATCGTTAACTCTGATAAGTGATTACTGAGACCATCAAACAGAGTACTATCTTCCTAACGATGAGGTGAGGAATTGTGTGTATCTCTTGGAGTCGTCCTGACTTACTAAATCGCACAATGCAGACGGAAAAAGACCGTTTAGGTACGTGCTAGCCGACTTCCTAGATTTTGGACGCGCAAGCCAACAACCCAACACAGATTTCGCCAACCTTTTATGGATACTTACATGGGACGGAAATCTATGCAACTGCCCCAAAGTTAAGGGTGCCAGGCGAGTTTTGGATGTTGGAACTGGGACGGGCATCTGGGCCCTTGATTATGGTGAGTGGATTGGCCTGAGAATACCTTGACACGATGTCTGAAGTTCAGTTGCTGACGGTTCAACAGCGGACGCTCACCCTGAAGCAATCGTACGTCAAAATGACATCTTCCTGACATACTTAGTTTCATCGACGAGGCATGTCAGGTTATTGGTGTTGATCTGAGCCCTATCCAACCCGCCTTGTGAGTAGTTCTCTTCGCTGGCGGCATGAAGGGGTCCATGTTTTGACCGTTCTCGACAGCGTTTCGCCCAATTGCCGCTTCGAAATCGATGATCTTGAAAAATAATGGACTTGGACGGAGCTATTCGACTTCATATTGATCAGATCAATGGTTGGAAGTTTCAAAAGCTGGTCCGACACTATCAAGCAAGCCTACGAGTAAGTGCTCCTTTCCAGTGTATGAGTGGGGTTCTGCTTTAGCTCATGACAACTCCAAGCAACCTGGAACCGGGAGGGTATCTTGAGATCCAAGACAACGAGTTTCCCATCTTCTGCGATGATGGTTCCATGCCCGCAGATCCTAAAGTCCTGAAGTGGACTCAGCTCGTCATTGAAGCCACGAACATTGTGGGGAAGTCAATGACTGTTGCGCCTACCTTCAAGCAGTTACTCGAGGATGCCGGATTTGAAGATGTCCAGGGACGCCAAGAGAAATGGCCTATTAGCCCATGGCAGCAAAACAATTCGAAACAGAGGGAGCTGGGGAACTGCTGCCGAGCGGGCACCATGGAAGAAGGCCTTGAGCCGATTTGCATGGCCTTGTTCACGCGCGGTTTTGGCTGGACTCAAGATGAGGTCGTGGCGTTCTGCGCAGGGGTTAGAGAGGAATTGACACAGCAGACCGTTCACGGCTACTTCAATGCGTAAGTAGTGACCGAATGACATTTGCCCGTAAAATCCGGGTTAGCTAACCACTTTGATTAGGTACGCTGCTTGGGGTCGGAAGCCTGGAAAAAAAGCAGAGGCAAAGAGTAGCTAGATAGACGTGGCATGGCATAGTTTTCCCCTTCGTCATAATGCTACCTGGAGTCTTGTTCCAAACCAAGGCAGCCACAAATATAAATCGCTGTGAACTGTGTGAAGGCGACTGTTGAAGTCCAGATATTACGATATTACAACCGGCGGCAAGAACCATTAGAAGTTCAAAAAGATTCTTGCAAATAAATCAGTGTATTGGCAGGGGCAGGTCAGTCACAGGTACAGTTTTTGTTAAAGTGACGGGAATCCAATCCCACGAGTTATGGGACTCACTTTCTTGATCCTTGTCGAGAAGCTCGCCAATATGCAGACGAAGTTTTACGAAAACAGGGTAAGCCAATCATGGAGTAAGAAAAAGAATCTGGAAGCACCTGCAGGCGGGTCTGGCGGTTGGTTGTTGGAAGTACAAAATGAGGGTGTTGTTACCTCGGGACCAACGTTACGACACAACATCCAACTTCCAACTTCCTTTCTTTCCCCTCATCTTTCCTGTTACCCGCCACGCAACCTATCCAATTTTTGCGAAGTCCGCCTTGATCAGACAGAACCAAGGAGAAATGGCCGAGAATGCAACACAACAGGTCGAGGTGAGCGCTACGTCTTCTCTTCTATGCAAGAAGCAAATACTAATTGCACTGACAGGATGTTCCGACTGACGAGGATGCCTCCTCAGTGAGCGACTCTGTAAACTTCCCAGACCATTTCTAACTGCATCTTTTTGGCTCACATTTGGTAGGAGCGTGAAGACTCGCTAGCTTCTTTGCGATCTAGCATTCTGGACTACCGAAGGGAGAATGGTAGGACATATCACAGGGTCAGCGATGGCAGTGAGTAATCTAAAACTCTTGATAATACGTCATGACTAATTATTCAATTTAGAATACTACATGCCCAACGATGTGGTATGCTACCAGCTGCATCATAATGATTGAGGCATTTGTGGTTGCTAACTTATGATGTAGATGGAACAAGATCGCCTTGGTTCGTTCTCAAAATAAAGATGCCTTTTGTTGCTTCTAACCAATCGAGCAGACTTCTCGCATCATCTTTGGAAGCTAACCTACGACGGAAAGTTATGCAACAGCCCCAAGAAAAAGGGAGCTAGGGTTCTGGATATCGGAACTGGAACTGGTATCTGGGCTATGGACTACGGTGTGTCCACTCGCTTACCCCCATCCGATGCTACAGTACTGACGTTTGTGCAAAAGCGGATGAAAACGAAGACGCATCTGTGCGTCTACTTCATCTTCACTGCTCATATCTTTAATCCTTCTAATGGGTGCATCTGCAGGTTACTGGCGTTGACCTGAGCCCAATTCAACCAAGCTTGTCAGTAGATCTTGAGCTATCGCATACAGGCTCAGTAAACTGACTCAGACAGTGTGCCGCCCAACTGTCAGTTCGAGGTTGATGATGTTGAGAAGGAGTGGACTTGGTCAGAGGCATTTGACTTCATCTTTGCCAGGTCAATGAATGGATCCTTCAAGAGCCGTACTGACTTTGTCGCCAAAGCATTTGAGTGGGTTGACGAATCAAATCCATTCAGCCTTATACACAGAGCTTCCAAGAAACTAACACATGCGCCAACGCAGGAACCTGGAAGTCGGCGGATACCTTGAGATGCAAGATAATGTGTTCCCGTTGCGGTGCACTGATGGGACAATGACAGATGACTCGAGCATGTACAAGTGGTCTAAGCTCTTAGTCGAGGCTACGGAAATCGTCGGACAGCCGCTCAACGACGGCCCGAAGTTCAAACAGATGCTCGAGGATGCTGGATTCGTGGACGTGCAGGAGAAGAAGGGGATCTTGCCTCTCGGATCTTGGCCGGAGAAGGGCACTAAAGAGCATGAGTTGGGGACTTGGTGTCGATCCATCACACTAGAGAGCCTCGAGGCCCTCTCGCTTGCTCTATTCACGCGCGTTCTTGGTTGGACTAAGGAGGAAACCTTGGTGTTCTGTGCCGAAGCGAGGGAGGAGTTGAAGCAACAGAATATCCACGCCTACTTCGATGTGTAAGTCAATTACTGGATCTTTTAGTGGGAGCGTTGACTGAAAATTCTCTAGCTATGCAGTCTGGGGTCGGAAACCCGCAGAAAAGTAGACGGAGTATGCATGATACTTGGCAATCTCCTCCTTCAATTGATGTCCTTATTTGACAATATCTCTATGATGCAGCTGTGTGCCTTTCCAAAAAAGACAAGGAACCTTTGACATCTGTTTCACTGTTGAGCATATCCGTTTGTGACACTGGAGATATCGTAACCGGTGTGATATCTCGTCACTTGCGCAACCAGGGACCCATGGACTCGGCGCTGTGTTGCCGTATTTCGACTTACTGTCCACCACGGGACGCTGGATGATGGTTCCGGGCACCTTGCATATGCATGCATGAGATGATAATTATGGTAAAATCCAATCAAAAGTAAACAAACACAGTTCTGCAAACCAACAGAGGAATGTAAGCGGGGGACGATGCATCAACATGGAGAACACGACCAGGGGCCCTCTCGTTAAGGAAGGACGCGAGATTATATTTACCCAGCCCTTTGCCCCTCACTTGGGACTCTTTCGTACTCATCGTTCTGTTCTTTCTCGTCACTTTCACCCATATTTCCTCGAATTATTCTTGGGACGACATTGCATGATGGCTGATCAGGCACAACAGCCAGTAATAACTGCGGTAAGGATTCAGTCACAGCCTTCTGTGCTCATCATCTATAGGGTAGCAGGTTGTGGCTGACATGAAGTCTAGGAACCTGATATTGATGATGGCGCATCCTCTATCGATGGCTCGGTGAGTCGCAACTCTCCGACTATTTGATCCTTGGGCCCGGGCTGACATCGTGCAGTCTATTGATGACTCCCTGGCTTCTCTGAGGTCCAGCATCCTCGATTACCGCCGAGGAAATGGTCGTACCTATCATCGGCTCAGCGATGGGAGTAAGTTGCCCTGTGAATCAGTGCGTTTTGCGAAGGCTAGCCTGGTATCAATATTGAGTAGAATATCTTCTTCCCAATGACGAGGTAACAGTCCATGTTTTCCAACTATCAGCTTATTTCTAACGGTCGGTCAACTTCAAGCGAGAGCAAGACAGACTAGGTAAGCAAGCCTAACCCCAGATGCATTTCTTGAATCAAGCTCATCTATCGTCAGATCTCACCCATAACCTGTGGCTACTTACATGGGACAACAAACTCTGCAACTGCCCCAAGAATGCTGGTGCCAAACGAGTGCTAGACATCGGGACTGGAACTGGTGTCTGGGCTCTAGACTATGGTTAGTCAGTTCTCCTCCGTCGTAGTAACGGTGGCTAATGTGGATGTAGCGGACGATCACGCTGAAGCTATAGTAATACCTAATGAGACGCCAGATGCGGTTGCAGTCGTTGACTTTCCCTAGGTACTCGGTGTCGACCTTAGTCCGATTCAACCCAGCTTGTGAGTTTCACACTGATTCAAAGCAATACCTCAGCTAAATTCATTACTGTAGCGTACCTCCTAATTGCTCATTTGAGGTTGACGATGTTGAGAAAGAGTGGCTTTGGTCGGAGCCGTTCGACCTCATCTTTGTCAGAAACATGATTGCGAGCTTTTCTGATTAGCCAGGCATGATCGAGAAGGCTTTTGAGTGAGTAACACGTTTCAATCAACTGGCCCTCGATACTGATGCATAGTGAATGTAGACGTCTTGAGCCTGGCGGCTATCTTGAGCTTCAGGACAACATGTTCCCACTCATGTGTCGAGACGATACGATGACCGACGACTTCAAGCCCTACAAGTGGACGAAGTTGGTTATGGAGGCGGCCGCAACGATGGGACGCCCGGTCAACGTCGCTGCCAGCTTCAAGCAGATGTTGGAGGATGCAGCCTTCGTCGACATCGAGGAGAAGAAGGCGATTTGGCCTTACAACCCTTGGCCCAAGGACCCAAAGCTCAAGGAGCTGGGTTCGTGGGCTCAAGCATCCGCTGGCTCGGGCATTGAGGCAGCTTCGATGGCTCTTTTCACTCGCGTTCTTAATTAGACCAAAGAGGAGGCGACAGTCTTCATTATCGAAGTGAGAAACGAGCACAAGAAGATTGGAGTCCACGCATACTACGACGTGTAGGTGAACACGGATATTCTTATTCGAGCCTAGCTAATGACACCTATAGGTACGCTGCCTGGGGTAGGAAGCCGGAGAAGAAGGACGAGGAAGATGTTGCAGTGCCCTCCTGAGAGAGTGTGTCTATGCAAGACCTATTTTCAATCCGTCCCATTCTGATCGGGACTACATATTCTGAGAAGTCGGAATAGCTTCATTTCATAAATACCCTTACTATCATACTCGAGGTGGCTACGGACAATGATGAATCAGCGAGCGGTAATGCGTCCACGGACTTTTTGGAAAAGTGAAAGAAGTTGGGCGTTAGCATGATGAAGCTCTAGGAGAGCTCATAGACGTCAAAGATGGATGCTTTGCTCTGCTACAGCCGCCGTTATTATGACTGGCGTCATTGAAGCATTTAGCCTCCCATGTTCAGTTGTAGTTGTTAAGCAACTCGCTGCAAGGTAGTGGTGATATGGTAGATGGATCATGCCAGCAACTCAATCTGGCAACGTCAATGCAGGCAAAGATATCCTGTGAGTTCTGATCACGGGGAGAAGCAACCAGAACTGGCAAGACAGCGTGCGAATCTACCTAGCATGCTGCTAAATGATGTAAGTAGTACGAGGCAAGAATTCCTCCCGAAAGGTCGTAGTCGGTTTAGAAAATCAGTTTTGCCTCAGTCTTCGGATGTGGTGCGAGGTGACAACGATAATAGTCTCCTTTGGACCCAAAGTATTTCCACGTTGTGACAGTCGAGAGGCCAATTTTCATCCTGTTACGATAAGGCAGGCGGAGAAGTATGACGAACAACTTCGGGGATCGTCATCGGAATCGAGGCGAGAGAAACGAGCTGGTGCATGGCAAGTCCGTCATATTGCTTCCCTCGCGGTTCATTCATATCGTCCTGCGTTTTGATAGATCTCAGCCCGACCAACTTTCGGCCGCAAGACATCGACTCGTCAGGTAGCAACAGCCGGCTCTTCGGGCGAAAGGCCTCCTCGTCTGAGGTGTGGCCATGAAATTGTTCTCAGCTCGTCGTAGTTCAGTCGTTGGTTGACGGGAGTAGGCCATGAGCGCGCTCGTATCAGAAGTGAATGTCGAATGATGGAAGTTTCAATGTGCCTGCGCCGCCTCTGTTCACCAATCTGTCGTTTAGGAGAGGATTCCAGGACGCCTAGACATGCGCGTTTACCATTCTATTAAGGGATATGGTAACAAGAGAGAGGTTGTTGCCAAGTTAAGTCGCCCAGAGACTACGAGCTGCGGATAATTGAGGTGCGGCGAGCCGATGAGCATGTTGAGGATGGATTGTTTTGATGCAGAGACAAGTAGGAAGAGGGAAACACGAAGCAATGGACTACGCTTAACTTATTCGTTGAGAGAATCCTTCAGAAGACCACGTGAGAGACCCTTACAACCCGAAAAGCCAAGCATGGCCAGACTTAGTGCTCATAACTCCACCCAGAACAGGAAAAGAGTAGGAAGGGGAGACGGCGAAGTCCCCAAGCCCCAAACAGCATTTGGCGAACCAGAAAAAGTGCCGCAGGACTGCCTGATCTATACCATCGGCCAGTGCAATTGCTGCTTTCAAGGAGCGGTGAGAGTAAACGGGCTTGTGTAACACCAACGTCGCCCAGTTTGGGATAGGGGTTTTTGGACTTTCTAGGCAAAGACCAAGACTGATTGATGCCTGCGACATTGCTGCCGTTTGACAAATTACTGCAAGCTTTCTGTAGCATATTCACCGAAAAATTATGCCACGCGAGCACCACTATTGGTCTGGTGATGACGCGGATGATCAAGTTGCTGAGAATGGGGCGATAAAACACGCAAGCTCTCCTACCCAAAGTGAAGCGAACGGACACGTCAAACGTTCTCGATGGAAGTGAAGCGGTCCATCATCGCCACGAGCCTTGTAAATCAAGAAGGCCTCAGGACGAGTGGCTGTTCTATGGTCTCTGCCTAGCTACCAATTATTTCAGTGTGCCGCTGTGCCGCTGTGCCGCTCGAACAGTAAATTTACAATTATTCGACTGCTGCCTTCTCTGACAACATGCTTGCACGCCTTACAAGCTTCTTGCGAACCATCAGAAGAAAGATGTGCCTCAGATTCAGGGAATTACAGGAGCACCTATCAGGACGAGGAGTTCCACGGCATCAGCTTCGTTCGTTGAAGAAGCATGGCCCCCTCCTATATATCTTGAACAGAATATGTCGGGTTTGATACTGGAGAGTCAAAAGATTTGTAAGAATCTCCCCATGATCCCAGACACGAAGGCGGCGAAGATGCTCTCAACTGCTGCTCGACAGTGATGGATTAACCTCAAGGTCCTGTCATAAGCTCGTGAGGGTTTTCTCGTGTTTGTGGAGAATGAGATGGGGCGAGATTGCTTCAGCGGAGGTGGGGGACTTATACGAATCGACCTCCAATTGATGAATGAGTCCCTCGTCTATTTGCAAAGCATTCCGTCGACTCTAAGCCGATATACTGCAGTCATAACACAAGTCTTGAATTGGGATGCGAACCTGGCAGCTTTGTAGATATTTAGAACAACACTTGGTGGTTTGCGCTGCCACTCAGGCATCTTCAGATGAACATACATCATATCTTGCCATCCATTGTCAACAAACGCTCCAAATAATTCATGTCGATGCTGTGTGGAACAAATTATCGTCTTGAGTGAGAACTTCTGTGAATGGAACAAAGGCTGCTATTCTGGATGACTCCATCGCGAAGGAGCTCTTCAGCAACCCACAGGAAACACGTAAATTGGCGTGAAGCCTTGAGAGCTATGGGTGATCTCGCAAAGCGCAACGCCTGCTGTGATTGAAGCCGGAATGAGACCGGGCTCCGGAAGTGACGGTCGCACATAAACTCCCGGCCCCGAGTCTCAAGGTATCGGGGAACCCGGCCGCTCTTGTCGGATCCTCAATAAAATCTCCGGGCCTGTTGTACAATTTTGCGAACGATGGCGAACCACTACTTCCAGATCCATGCGTAGATGCTGGCGGGCGCGTGAGATCAAAAACCTATTGCGAATCGATCAGACAGGGCCAAATGCATTCTGGCGAACCATGCGAACCAATTCAAGGAGCGTGCAAGTACACATAAATACACCTTCTTCCCAAAACGGAAAAGAGGGCAACCAGAAACCTCCCAATTCGTTTGTCTTTCGATACCCTCATACTCTCGGGACGAACGTCTCTTGTATATATGAATTTGAGAAGACAATGTTTCACAGCCACCAAGTTCTGGCCGTTGAAGCTTCAGTTCCAACAACATTGCTGTCACCGGATGGCAGTCAAGTCAACATATCAGACCCCCCCCCCGTCAGGTGCGAGGCGCGCTCATCGGTTCAATCCACCACTATGGACAGCGTCTCCAATAGCGCGATCGTGAACGGGTACGGCGCACCTAGATGCTTATGACCCACTGTTACCGAGAGCCTAAGCTCACTTAAGTTTGACAGGGACGCCTCGGGAACCCCCAATCGACCTCGGATCGAACGTGTTATTAATCATACAAACACAGCACGGCTCCAGTTCTTCATCAGCGACAAGGGTCTTAATACACTGATGCCATCTATGACGACCGTGGCTGCGACGTCTGTAGCCGAACATCGAGCCAAAGCAAGCCAGAATATCAACAGGATCATGGCCAATTTTGAGCGGTGAAAGCAGACCGGAGACTTGTAAAGCTATTGGATGAACATTGGCATACTGTTCATTTTACGGGTATGGTTCTAGACGCGACGTGGCAGCAGAGTTGCTAACAGGCCGGCCTCATTGAACAGATCACGCAGATTGCGGTTTCCATCCGGACGAGGGAAGCTTGTGCTCTATTTATCTCGCTGTCAAACCAGTGTTCCATGCCATCAACGATCAAACCTTTGACCAGTCGAAAAACGCCGCAGTAGATCTCCAAGGCAAGACAAGCATGGCGTGGGGTCAGACATGCAACGGTGTTGTTCCTGGAATACATGACCCGAAGCACCGGGTCAACTGAGGATACATTGGCGTCCCAAGGAACTAGACTCGAGTAAATGTACCTACCGGGAAAGGCGCACATGTTCGACGACAACGTTTCCAGGTTGCCCATATTCGTCCATATGGTGGAGGGTTAGTGGGGTCAGGCAACGTCCCGACGGCGGGTAGATGCAGGGTTGGCTGCCTTATGTCAGAGCAGCACGTCCCACCCCGAGTCCATAGTAAACTCCCGTCCTCAAGGACGGCAGGTAGCTGAACAATGGATGACGCTTTGCACCCATCGTACTTCATGTTCTCTATTTATCCGATGGAGTGTGTTCATCGATAAGCGTTCTTGCATTGCAAGCCCTCGCAACCCAGGTTCCGGTGCATCCTCGAACAGTGGAAGAGGGCAGAATACGAGCCAACAGTCTACAAGCAGGAGCTGTTAAGCAGCACTTCGACAGCACCTCGTAGTGGGACGAATTCAGCTGTGAGGAATTCTAGCACAACATAGAAAGTCAATTACGAATAGCCAAATTTACAAAGGAAATATGCAACGATGCACAAGGCCTAAATACATAGTAAATCTCGCAAGTGTCACTATTTCGTGCATTGGACTTCATTTGGCACCCCATCAATCATGACTCGGTAATCTCCTTAGATGTTGCGAGGGGAGATCATATTCAAATCGTATTTCTATCATGTGCATAGAACACCACGAAAAGACTTCAGCATTCGTGGAGAATCTGGGCGAAATCCGAACCCATGGGCTGAGTGCATGTATCTGTGGCTGTCCACAAATGCTATACTGCGTGACTGGGCTGAGGTAGGGACCATTCGCTGATGCTATCATGCGGGCGGATATAAATTTACTGACGGGATCTTTTGAATCAGATTTATTATATCCGGTTGGCTACTAGGAACAGATAGTATGCTCTGTGCGAATCGCCTCTCTCAAGGTCTCACGTCTATTTATCGTGGGAGCTTGTCAGAAACACCACAACAAGTGCACGTACTTGGATTCAGGGTGACAGGTAAGCTCGAGTAATGTCAAAAGGCCTTGTGTTTGACATAAGGAATTATTACTACTCAGAGTCAACGTTGAGACATGTACAGCAGTACCAGAGCTTTCGCAATTCTACATAATCCACCGTTGAGACGCGGATAGACCCTTGACCATCGTTCTTGGGGCTCGGGAGTCTTCCTTTACTGTTGTTATTTCCGGTGGGTGGAAACGTTGGTTTTGGTGGGGTCTTCAGATGAGAAGAGAAAGTTGTAAGTATCACATGACTTGTGATGCGCATGGTAGGGGGAAGAAGAAATCAATAGGGAAGGAGGTCAGTTGAAGGCTGGGGCGACAAAAAAAAACCGGGAAGTCGGGGGTATTCGAACTGGCGAACTGGCGAACCACCGACTAAACTGGGCTGCCTGCGCCCGTGTATTCGTGTTGGTACATAGTACATGCCGGAGGGTACGTACCGATGATAGTCTGATTCTGCGGCCCCCAATGGCGCAACGCTCATTGGGTACAGCTCTTCTTTCCGGGATTCGGACCATATGGCCATCGGAGGTAAATCAAGAACCACCTCACCTCCAATAGTCTTTTCAAAGAGTACAGAATCATACAAATATCTCATAATCCCGTCTTGGTTTCAATATGTTCGCTTTGAATATCATCACTGTTCTAGGCTCTGAATCTTCTAGAAGCCTTTCGTAATCACATCGAAACTGAACACTCATTTCCCGATAGCTCAGAACTGTTGAGTATCGAAACAGCCGTGATGACTTCAGATTCGAACAAGTCCATTGTCCACGGGTACAACTTGATTATTTATTCATCCTCTCCCAAAGCACCCTCGAGCTTCCCAAACATCTTGACATAATCAATCTAACCTGGTCTTATATAGTGACACTTCAACCCCGAGCCGCAAAAACACCGACGCTAGAGAAATGTTGCGCCTTCAAAGAGAACGACTTCGCCTTTTTGCACGAGATGACGAATGCCCCAACCCGATGCTGCCTCATATGATGGGGTCGTCTAAGAAATCCATCGAGAAGCACCACGGGAAGAAGAACGATAAGATTGAAAACGTCATTTCGAAGGTCGAAAAATGAAATGCGTGATTCGTCGAAATTTGGCTTTGTCTGCAAACACAAGCACTTACAAAGATTGAATGTATGTGCGCAAAGAACACTACACAAATACCTTAGGTGTGGGGATCCTGACATAATAACCCAGACTGGAAGTCTCAATTCACATGGTCTGCCTAACGACAAAGTGCTCGGCCAGGCGCTTCAAGCAATCGGTGGAGCGGCGTTCAACCTATCCGGAGACTTGCCCCGGCGTCTACCGGAACAGACCCGCTTTTCGGAGCTCCGTCTTTTGATAGTATGAGCTCGAGCTCCCGAAACAAACGTCGGATGTTGAACGGTACCTGAAGAAAGTGTGGCGTGTGCCGGCAAACTCAAGTACCTAGGTACTACATATAGAGTACAGCTGATGCGCATTCAGAAGCCCGAGGTCACAGGCAAATGGGTTGTACTGGTGACTGTTCGAAGCTTTCGGCTTAGCGCAGCTGCCTCCTGGCAAATCGGACTACCTTGCTCATTGCAGCTCGGCACCTAGAGCCTCTCTTTTCACTGCTCAGCCCAGAGCTAATTGTTACCACCCGCTTCCATTCTTTCTTTTTTCCTACTCTTTCCACATGATTGGGGAGTGCCGGTTTTGCGATCTTCGCACGCGCAATACCGCAATACGTAGGTAATGCGTACCTTTTGATGAGCATGGACGCCGTAGTGCCTGCGGCACCGCAACATGGTCCATGAGTCTTGTGGTATGCCATGATCAAGCAGAAGGAGGAAACGGCTTCTTGTCAAAGGTAGATAAGGTACCTAGTGTGACAATATTTCTAGAGTTATGCCTCACTTTCCTTAAGCATTAACGCGAGTTTGGTCAAAGCGCGCATGCGATATCTCTCAGCAAGCAGATGAGGGCTTCGTTTGATTTGGTGATGGCTTACAACGAAATTTGGATATGGAAGAAGGATCCGTGCGATTCGAGAAACTCACCCCATCACTCCGCCGCGGGCCCACTCCATCGACCGGGCCCGTAGGTCCGCCTGGACATGCGAATTTCATTCCACGATTGTGGGACAGCCTCCTAACTCGGACCAACAGGTAGTCAAGTACGTACTTCATTCGACACATCTGGAACGGGTTGATGGCTGTGTAAGAAAGCCTGTGGCAGGACTGCGGCGTCCGGCCAATCAGATGTCGCGTTACTCGCGGAGGAACAGAAAACGGAAATCATGCTTGACGACACCGTCGCCAGGTGGAATAGTGCCGATACTTGAATCTATGTACTCGAACATCTTGTAATTCCACCTAATCCTTGAATATAGCCAGTGGACAGACATGAATGAAGCTAGATCTTCTTCAAAATGCAGAAACTAGCACTGAGTTTTGTAGGAATTTTCAGCTGTACTATAGGATATGGGGAGCTCTCATTGCTTCTAAGTCAGTACATGCAAACTGCGGCGTGTACTTACTGGTACTCGCCCGCTTTGCTTCTTCCCCTCTATTTCTCGGAAATCTCTGCAGCCCTGCTAGGGTTGCAGGGTGGAAATGAGAGCCATGTGTGTGTGTGTGTGTGTGTGTGTCGCCTGAGGTTGTACAACATCATTATGTACGGTGCCGCAGGCCGCGAATTTGATTGGCCTTGAACTTTACTTTATCAGCGTGAGATGCTCAACTTTTGTGAATAGTCCGCGAGGATTGGAAGCCTGCCATTCTGACGTTCTTTGCGGGTTGCGACCTTTAGCCACCAAATGCTTACTCGAAATCTTTAATCTTATAAAGGCGGTGGACTCCCCAATATTCTGGTAACTAAACGACTATGCAACTTATTCATTCGAATACTGTCTTTCGTTCGGTTCTACTACCTATTACCATTTATTGAAACATAGATCGACGAGCCGAAAACCACAGCGCACCTCAGTATAAGTTGTCGCCATGTACCCAGCCTCAAACCGAGCTACTGTCAACGGGTATATAACCCGCCCTATCCCACTTCACACACCTACCCAAACGCCGCGCCTGACATTTTTCCCTTTTCCTTCTCCCCAGCATAGCTAGTATTCGTTTAAATCAAGGGACACCCCACCCCTTCGGACCGCAGCTCAAGTCCAGCAAGACCAGCAACTCCAACTGTTAACACCGCATCCAGTCCTTCCTCGACGACAAAAACGGCCCCAAGACCATGCTTTCTCGCGCCTCTACCTCGGCAGACGAGTCCGTGGCCAAGCATCGCACCGAGGCAGCCCGCAACATTGACGACATCATGTCCAAGGTCAAGGGCTGAAATGCATTAAAAGATTCGTAAACACCTCTTAAGTCTGGAATATCGGAAGAACATGCCTGTTGACAACACCCCACCAAGTGCGTGCACATGCTGCTGAAATGACTGACACAAACTAACAAGTGCCCCTACCAGAACTCAACCAACCATAAGACTGCAAATCCTCCGCCAACTTGTACCCGGATCTGACCAGGAGTCTTGGGCAAGGCTCTCCGCTGCTTACACCGATTAGGTGGATACTGGTACCGAAAGGACCCACTTCGTCCGGATGCACGTGCCAGTTTCGGCCCCGATGATTCGGATCCGGAGAGTTAATAAATAGGGAATGGTGCTGGGCCGGCAATGTTTCATGGAACTCGGGAGGCAACCTCTGTGGCAGTCCTTGTGCACATCACACAAAGCTGGCTTGCTCGACGGACACATCTAAGCATTCCCCTCCAGCCCTCTTAGATCGATCCGCCCATCATTTTCATTTTCTATTTTCCTACACTATACATTTCCTCACGTACACGCCTTCTCGACCCCTCGACTTCAATTCGAATCAAGCCTTATTGTTCCTCGGAGATTTTCCCACACTAGACCCAAAGTCTTGTTCAAACCAAAAAGCCACCACCACGGGTTGCTACAGGCGACGACCCTGTCAAAGCGCGCCTCAGCCTCTCCTCTTCCCGCCAACCTCGACAAGACCTGCATGCGATCTCTCCCTCATGCGATCTACACGACGCCAGATCGATTACAGATGTCACCGGTGGGAGAACAGAACTCATTGGCTGGCACGTGGCGGAACTTCACATTGGGCGGTGGAACCTCTTCAGAAGAACACAGTAAAGTTATATGTGCGCGATTAACATTAGATAATACAACAAAAAAAATTTGAGCCTGTCCTTTCAGCTCCTTCACACCAAACGCCGTGGATATCATGCAGTGCCCATAGTCATTCAGTCGTTATTGCTTTTGTGTTGGTTCAGCTTACGAGGCCCTGGTTTCTCGCAGAGAGAGGATGTACGGCAAATCAGTCGAGTCCGTCCGCGTTGCCAGTCTGATGACGGAGCCCGAGGCGGAACTTCCTGATGCCCTCGATCGCAAACTGACGCTAGATGAGGAGTGATTGGGACCATATGCCGGCCGGGTCTGGGCGAAGCTGTTCATGCTGGAGGATCTCGATATGGCCCCTCTTAGTGTACCCAGCGGAGTAGCTGGCGCGGTGCGGTATTGAGCCCACGTATTTGCAGAGGAGTTGCGCGCGTTGACAGTCGGCGCTCTCCTAATATAAGAGCCTTGCGTGCTCTGTGTCGCAGACCGGGATAAGCTGCGTGGAGTAGTAGGGTTTGTGGCCATGGGCGCATCATTATCGATATCGCTTTCTGAGCCTTCGCTGGGTCCGTCCAGGGGACCGAGGACTGCCGGATCTAGCGGTCGCATGCCGCGTAGTATCGCAGCAAAGAAATGCATCAACTCGCGAAATTGGGCGTTCGAAATCGCCCGCGTAGAGAAGCGCGCATGTTCGTAGGTGGAGAGGAAATCGGCAGTCGTCGCATTAAGCGAAATTACCCCCAGCTCAGCAAGGTGGCCAAGGTAGTCGCGCAGACTCATGGGTAAAGGGCGCTGCAACAAGGCCACCGCATCGGCATCGAGCATCGGTGGTTGACTGGGAGAAGTCGGATCGGGAGGCGCCAGTGTCAGGGCTTTTGCTTCGATGAGGTTCGGCAGCTCGGAGAGAACGGTGCTGTACTGTAGATCCGGGAGGTCTAGCGAATTGGGCGATGACCAGCCGTAGTGTTCGATTTCGCCCCAGACTGGCCGTCGAGGAGGCAGTGCAATGCCAGTCTCCTTTTCCGTTGTTGCCGGCTTCTTCAGGGTGGGTAGCTGAAAGCGCTTTCTCGCCGCGCTACCGCCAGAATTCTGCTTTTCGACCAGTACCTCCTCCATATCGCCACCCAACAAATTCGTCTCGATGCGCGGCCTTGCGTCATAGGCGATGGCTGCGCTGCGCTTCAGGTCGGCTGTGATCATTTCGTGAACCTTTTTGTTCACGTCGCCCTTTTCGATGGGAACCCATGGCTTCGGTATTGATGCGAGGATCGTCTTGTTGAGATACAGTCGCGTCGCGTAGATGAAGGATACGATCAAAGTGGTGAGGACCAGAGCGGCGGCAATGATCCATATGTTATATGGCTGGTTGTTCGAGTAGGCCTGGTAGATGGTGTCGCCAGGTGTGACGAGGAGGAGAAGGGCGAGGAGGAAGCATAGGACGAAGTAGAAACTTCCGTATATGAAACGGAATATCGCTCGTGGGGAGAACATCGGAAATGATTCGAAAGGGCTTCCCAGCGTTGAGGACTCAACCCGGGAATCGACGAGATTTCTGGTTGAGGATCATGGACCGACGGGCCAGTGCATGAGGTAATGGCGCAAACTGGAAAAGCATGGCTGGGCGGAAGAAAAAGCCTATGCGAGGAGGTAGAATGTAGCTGTAGCTAGGCTAAGAAGAACAAGTGTGAAGTCTAGACATTACATAGGAGAGAAAAGAGTATAGTACGGTTGAGGGAGAGAATGGAGGTTGGTGAACGTGTAGACAAGAAAAAAGGTGGAGGTTGCGCACCCAGTTGCGTGAAGGTGACGACGAGAAGGATGACGGGACGGGCAAAGGCGGGAGCGCGAGAGGTTGGTTGGGGGCTTTCATTTTGTTTGATTTCGCCGAATGAGAATTAGCAGTGTCTTCCCGGCCACAATGCACAAAGCTCAGGTGGGGGTTCCATGCGGACCCCTGTAGCTTCTAGGCTTCATGCTCTAATCCAAAATCCGGTTTAGCGGCACCAGCGGGTGGGCGGCAACGGGCACTAATTTTTTTGCATTCCAGGCGCTCAAAGACAGATTCACAATGGGATGGAACGGAATGGGAAGACGGGAGAGGGGAGTCTTCGGCATGGAGAAACCTATTTTTTACCTGCCGTGACGCCGCGTTGGCTTTGGGAGAGGCATGAGCCCCAAGACTAAGGTAGCGTCTGCTGTCTTACACGTGCGCTTGTGCCCAATCGCGGGCATCCAATCGTCTCATATCATTGCTCTTACTAGCCCAAACCGATGAGCTGACGCAGGCAGGGCCGGGCTTGTGCGCCTCACTTACATGTGATGAGAGTCGGTCAGCCCTTCTGTTGATATAATCATGTGTGTTGCAACGATTTACTGCCTCGTGAAATCTAACTATGATACACGTCGTTATGCCGTTATGCCTGTGCCTGTTTTGCCTACCAAACGCCCCTCACAATTTACGGTTGTACCGTGACACCACGTACACCAAAGTCCGTAACTAGCGGGCTTGCCGCATCTCGGGTCCTTGGGATCTGACTTCACTCGTGGTAGGTGCCTGTTGGGCGGCCGCCTCCTTGGCCAGTCTGATATCTGTGCGAGTCAACCTCAAGTCGCTGCTGTATCGTTCAAACTCCGTAATCACTTGGGCCAAGCCCGTCTTCAAGGCTGCAATCACAGCCTCCACCTCTGGCGCAGCCCTGCTCTTCTCAACATCGGTCCAGTGAACAGGGAAGTTGTCCTTAAATACTTCGATCTTGGTAATGACGGTTGTAAAGGTGCGAATAATGGTAGGAACATCCTTTTGCACCCTACCGTAGGTGTCATCATTAAGGCTGTGTACGGCCAACAAGCTGAGTACGTCAACAGCGTTGACATATTGGCTCAGCTCCGAGTACGGTGTACCGAGGATAACGGCGGTGAGTCTATTGCGGAACTCTTGGCGGAAAATCCAGCCAACGTACTCGTTGCCAATGACTTTCAGAGCCCATGTCTGGAACTGGTTCATCAGCTGAGGAGATGACAGTGCTTCCTGCTGCTCCTTGCTTAGAACCTTGTCACGGGCCCCGCGCAGCGTCTTCTTCGCGATAGGGCTCAGCTGCGACACTGGTGTGTTGCCGGGATGGCTTCCCACCTGAGTGAGAGCCTTTTCCAGCTCTCCGCGCATCGTCTTGTTCGCGGGCTTGCTGGTGAAGATAGGGTCCTCCTTTAGTGGCGCTGAAGACCGAGCTCGAACCTCCGCAGTCGGCGCTGGGGCAGCCGGCACAACCGCGGGCTTCCCGTACTGATCGATTCTTTGTTCGATATTCTTGATGGTAGTAAGGCAGTAAACGAAAATTTGAGACCACGTAGAACCATCTTTCCGGTCGATATCCATGAAGATGGCCTTGCGTCTGTTTTCTTCGTTGCGAGCAATGTATGCCAATTCCCAGAGGGCAAAGCACTACCACTGTTAGCTTGAGAATCGGCGTGTGTCCTTCAATGTGTACTAACTCGCACGGAGTCCTTCTTGCTCTTAAGACCATTGAGAAGGCTGCCGTTTGGATCCTTGGATTCGCTCGTGAGAGGCTTGCCGTTCTTGAGCGGCGCCTTAACCATGAACGTCGAGAAGGCATGGTTTGCTGTCTTCCAGATGGCGGTGATCAGGAAGCCCGCAACGGCGCATCGGTACATCAAGTAGATGTCTCCGGGCCACTGAGGCGGAAGCATGTTTGTTTTCGGAAGGTTGTAGAAGGGCCGCAAGAAGAACAAAGCCCAGCCCCAAAAGAACGATCGCAAGGCCATGAAGTACACCACACCAGCGACGATGGTGATGCTGATACTCCTCACGCCAGACTGGATGAGGATGGCGGGGACTTCGCCTAGGACCTTATTCAGCGAGGCATCCCCAGAAACCTTGACTTCGCCTCCCTCAGACCGCGCAACATCGATGACGAGCTTGTCTTGGTCCTGGTAGAAGTGGAAAATCGACTGAACAGCGGCGCTGACGGCCATGTAGCAGAAGAAGATCAACGTTCTCTCGTTCACACGGGCGCGGTCCCCGCTGTAGTATGTGACCCATCCCAAGTTGGCGCTCTCCGGCAGGGCCCACAGGTAAACATGGCTGAATAGCGCGCTCGAGAAGCCGTAGAAGAGGAAAGCCTCGAGGGTGTGGATGCTAAAGAAGAACTGCGCGAACGCGTGGAAGGTCGAGT